TTCGAGTGAAATTTTTTATCAAAGCAGGGGGGGGGGGGGGGGGGGGCAGACATGGCACAGTCAACAACGCACACAGGAACGTCTGTTAAAGGTACAAAAAGACAAGTACGAGACAGTGAGAATCAACGCAAGGAATCAGTGAGCTTTCCTCCCTTAATTGTGCCTCCAATTTCCTTAAATACTGTTTACAGGGTGGCTTGGAATAGAGAAAGGAGGCAAAGCGAAATGGGGCATCATTTCCAGTCGGGAGGCTCATCCAAAGCGATGATTATGTGCGACAGCTGCACGCCTGTATCAGATCTCTGCGGATAATAACAGCGCTGGGGTCACGTGACCGCGTATTTGCGTTTGCACAGATGATGGAAGAAGTCGTCCGCTAACAATGGCGGACGGTTGCCACCGTCATTGTTCCTTTCGTCGCAAACCAGAACGGGGCCTTTTCCCCGCGAATTATCTCCTGCGCCCACCTGCTCCCTTCACCGTCGTGACTTTGGGTGGCTGTTGAATCTTTGCAGATGACAACGATGCTGACGCTATTCGAATAAGGTCTATTGAACCTTTTGTAACCAGCTGGTGTAAACGCTCATGAAAATGGCGTGCTTGAGCGCCAACAGGCATAATGTTCTCCTGGTGGCCAACACAAAAAGCTAATTGTGGACCTTTTACATCTGTCAGCTGTCTTTTTTTGTTAAACAGTAGCACATTTTATTTCTCTTGCCATTGCATCTTTTAAGAACCCAAGTCGGACGGAGGCATTTGGCTGAAAAGATGCCGTTGCTGCTACATTGCGCCACGCCGATTGCTCGCATACTCGGATGACAGCAGCCCGGGCTGAGGAGAAAGTGGGTCGATGCATCTCACTGTTGCAGAAATGATTCAACTTGATGGTGGTCTGCAGTCGACGGCGAACTAACAAGCGACTGGAAGGAGGAGACGAGGGGCGTAACGCAGAGAGATCGACAGCTTGAGTGTTCGGTGACTTTGGGGTCATTTCCGGGCTAAAAGGGAACAAGTTAACACGTAGGTTTGAGCGTTTATTTTCACTTTTGCTGTCACTCCAGTCCAGTTCGCATGTGAGGAAACGTATTCCGGAATATTGCCACAACTACTTACATTTACCATATTTTCCGCACTAAAAGGCACACTGGATTATGAGGCGCACCTTCAATGAATGGCCTATTTTGTAATTTTTTTGAAATATTGGACGCACTGGATTATAAGACGCAATCTACAATGCATCCACTAGATGGAGCTACGCTCCTATTCGACTTGAGGCGTTCATGACCGCCTCCGAAAAACGTAAATTAACGATTCCTTCAATGAAACTACGAAAATTAAAAATAATGCATCAAAACAGAAAATCAAGCGAGGAAATCTCAAAATAAATTCTATGGCCCCCCTACAGAATTTATTTGGGCATTTCCTTGAGCGTAGCTCCAACAGAACAATCAGATTTCAGTAAAATATAGGAGACTGGACTGTCTCAGAAGTGTTTATTTATTCCTTTGTTGTGTACTGACACAAACGAGGAAATCACAAAATAAATTTTGTAGGGGGGGGGGCTATAGAATTTATTTTGTGATTTCCTTGCTTCATTTTCTGTTTTGATGCATTATTTTCAATATTCGCAGTTTCATTGAATCCTTAATTTATGTTTGTTTTTACCCCTTTCTGCCCCGAAATGTTTTTTTTTTTTTGCAGTACCATTACATGGAACTGAAATTAGAAGGTCTCCTCATTAAACAAACAGGGAATAGGCTGCCAAGCAATTAGCAAATGTGCTACTGTTAAAAAATGCATTGTGTGCTAACAGTGACATAGCAATTAAAAACATGTTCATGTCTTCTCTGAAAGGTACAATATTCTGTTCTTCAAATAAGAGTCTGATTGGGCTTTGAAATCGACATAATTGCACCTGAACTACAATTTGAACGTTGCGCTCATTTGCATCCACTATCAATGAGACCTTACCATCTCGAGATCCAACACACGATCCTGCAAAGACAAAAGATGGCAGCCGATCAGAAAAACGCCACGGGCAAACGACCGTGAGCGGACACAAAACACAGCTGTGGTGAGCAACTTGACGGCCAGGTAATTCGCTCCAACAGTAAAAGTGGACGACGTGTGTGTGTGTGTGTGTGCGCATGTGCGAGATGACGGAGGAGAGAAGAGTAATGGGAAACGGGGGAAAGAAATGTTCAGAATTTGAAGATCTGCCAAACACACAAAGGCACATTTTCCTGACTTCTCATCGAGCTCTTGACTGATGCCCCCTTGGTAACGATGCATGTAAGCGATGCGATGATTCTTTACTGCCACTCTTAACACACACCTGCTTCTCCCCCATCTGTTTTGCATGCACTGGCGGTTTCTAACAAGGGTTCCTTTACTGTGAAACGCCCCCCACCCCCGCTTGTCTTTCTAATTTGCTTTCTACAGCCCTCTATCCTCATCCTTCATAATTAATGGCTCGACTGAATACGGGGACAGCTGAATAATTGCGCACAAGTTTTGCCAGGTGCCGTCGAGTAGTAACAGATGGATCCCAGGTATCCAACTCTTGGCGAGTGAATGTTTACGTCTGGTGGTAGTGAGCAAAAGGCCAGTGGAAGTTCGGGCTGGGGGGGGCGGGCGGAGGTCAATCCACCGCATTAAAGGTGATGGTGGATGTCGCGGCACAGTGGGATTGAGACAAGGCCGCCGGTGGCTTTCAGTCATCAAGGCCTCGTGTCCGCTGCAATTAACTACTTGTCCAGGCATGGCTGCAAGATGTGTCACGCTCAGGGATGTGCACTCAAGTGTACACTGTGCATCAGAGATGACCAAAAGGTCTGTTCTCTTTTACTCTGGACGGGTAGAGCGGATACTCACAATATGATGTTAAACCAAAAATACACATGAAAATAAAATAAAATGTTTGAGGTGATGATCATTTAAACAGGAGGAGCTGGTACACTCACTCGCCAATTTATCAAGCACACCTTCACGAGATCTTGATCGAGAGAGGAAATGATGCACACCGCAGCGGGGGGGGGGGGGGGGTTTCATTGAGGGGAAGTTGGAAGCTCTTCTTTGACTGCTCTCGGTCTCAGTATTGACCAAAGGGATGTTTCCAAGGCACTCCGCATTGAGCTTTGGGGATCTCTTGGCATACTTTGAGATGCCAGTTGCACAGCGCGCCTTATGTATGGATGAGTGGCTGTCGGCTTTTCCGTTTTGCCGTCTTTCATTCAAATCCCTTCCTGTTACGTTTGCGGTCTCATTCTCATCCACATCTCATCACTCGCAGGTGTCCATGTTTTTGTCATATTGGAATTAGAACTACTTCCTGCTTCTGTGTCTAAGAATCATGGGAAATGTAAACCTCCGAGCGTGATGCTGCGTTCAGTCTGCACACAATAAGCATTTCTGGCGGCCGCTTACCTGCAACCTCACGAATAGAAGAAAGAAACTACAACGTGAAGGAAAGAAAAATGCATGCCGACCTGCAGGCTTCTCATTTCTTCAACCTTCTTGCGATTCCCCTCCAGCAATTCTAAACGAAAAGCAGAAGCGTTTGAAAGTGTGTTAGTTTTACATAGTTTTCTTCTTCCACCACTTCTATTTTTCTTAATTTCACGGAAGTTTAATCGGTGAGTATGATGTATGCACCACATTAGTTAAAAGTCTCCAATGCACAATAATCAGTTCCGTTTCAAAAGTCTCCTTTGTACCCACCCAAGTCTTGTTTCTGCTTGCTGATAATTACAGCGGCAAATTGTTTTCCGTTGCAATCACTGAATTTTTACCTAATTTGACATTTATTTGGTCACAAATTGAATTTCCAAGTACCACGGTATTTACACATTTTGCTTGGCGTGGTGATTTGCTGGTTTTAAACACATCTTTAGTGATCCTTAAGTGCTTCCTCACGCTAGAACCGCTCCCCTGACAAATAAACAGAAAAGACTTGATGTCGCCAGCTGCTTTTCGCAACCCATTCGCGTCTGGAAATGCACCGGGAAATTTACTCGTTAACCGTGCAAAATGTTTATTTTATTCAAATATGTCGCAGCCTGGGGAAGCCACACCTCCATCTCTTCAACCATGGACGCAAATAAACTGGAACATGTCAAATACTATTTTGGACAGAAATTACTCCAACTGATCCTTGATTTAGCTCTCGTTTTATTTCTGCAAAACCAAAGAAGTCTTTGAGACGACACATAGCTGACCTTATTTAGTATCTTTTCTTCGGGTGAGAGAATGTTCTACGCAGGGGAGGACGCAAACCAAATAGAGATACATAATAAATAAGTACGGGGGGCGTGGGGGGTATTCTGCTGACTGGTGCCATTAACAGCCATTCGCCTGAGGTGAGCAATTAAGTGGCTTTAATAAAAACATCGCTCATATTAGAATTTGATGGACGAGTCTATGGTCATACTCTAGCAAAGGTTATTGGTGTTGAGCAAATGCTAATTGGAATGTCACCTTGTTGACGACCAGATGTGAAGTCATTGATACACTCCCATCAAAGAGATGGAAGCTACTTTTGTAGAAACGGCTGATTGGTTGCGGCCATACGGATGTTGTCAGCCCTGGGCGTCCGGGACGCAAGAAATAAGCTGACCCGCTGATGAAATGAATCTTTAGTCTTGATCTAGACATCGCATCATTACGAGATGAAAGGTGAGGGAAGAGTACGAAGAGATGCAGTGTGTGATATGCTGAGAAGAGCTTCTGCCGAGGTGGAAAAGAGGAAAGGAAGAGATAAGATCGGACGCAAAGGGAACACACTCTGAGGCGCTGACACAATTTAAATGGATCACGGAGTCAAACGCAAGCAATTAAATGGGGTCAAATTACTTGGCACAACTTTTAGTACACCGCTGCTCGATTCGAGAAACTATTTGTAAATCTTTTGATGTTTTATTAGGAATGAAATTCCTTAAACGTGCACTTTTTGTTCATTCTGAATTCATGAAGTCAAATAAAAATGTCCCCATTGTCCATTCTCAACATGTGATATCATCCTCCACAAAAGATGTGGACTTCTGCTCATGGTAAGTAGCTAACAAAGGAAACTGTTGACTTTGGACAAAGGTCGGCGCTCAACGGAGAGCCATTTTAGTTTTGTTTTTTTTGTTTTTTAAAGATAGGAATGAATCTCTATGGATTGCCTTAGGAGGACTGCAGCCAACAACAGTGACCTCACACTAAAGCAATAGCAGTGCTGTGATTTTGTACCTTGTTTTTCGGTGCTGATGCAGAGCAGCAGCTTTTCTTGTTCGTCCAGGCGCTGCAGAAAGGCATCTCGCTCCGTTCCCCGAGTCTGCCTGAGTGCCTTCAGCTCAGCTCTGGTGTGCTTGTGCTGCAACCTCAGGCGCTGTTCTCTTGTGTCATGCTCGCGCACCTCCTCACGCAGCAAGCGTATCTTGGACTGGTTCGTTAGAATATATATTTAAAAAAAAAAAAGAAAGAAAAAAAAATGCTTTGGATGTGGATTTTGTAGGAGTACACAGAAGTGCACATTTAGAGCGTACGTAGAACATTCTTCAGCCGATCTGAACCACTCATTTTTCTTCTTGTCCTATCACGCTGCTTCAACACAAACGTTTAGCCGGAGCCCCATCAATAAAGTTGGCAGGAGAGGAACACATCATCAAACCCACTCACGCCTTAAAGTGTGTCATCAGCTTTTGCAGATGCCAACACGAAGCAACGATCCAGAAGATATCAGTCAAGTCATCCATTGATAATAACGGAATAATATTTGTCATACTTTTAAAGATGTGGGTCACAACAATGCTGCATTTGTTTGGAAATAACTAGTTCTGGAAAGGTTTCATTTCAGTAACTGTCTCGTGTTTAGATGAGCCAAAAAAAAAATGTTTCATCCATTTTCCCTGTTATAGAGGCACCCGCCCCCTCTTGTTCCCGCTAACAGCAGTTGCACTCTTAATCTTCTGCCGTATAATTGAATTTGCTGGAAAAATCCCTCGGTTGGTTGACAGAGTCACACTGCATGTAAGCATCATACCTTTGTCTCTGCTAGCCAAAGGGAGCTGTCTTTGACTGATCCAGCTTTCCTGGTTGCCTGTTCAAACAAATGAAGGCAATCGTGAGCATTCCTGCATGCATGCTTGCCAAAAATGGGAAATCATGCAATTGGATTGGCGCCGGCATTTTGTGCATGGAAGAAACATACAGAAAGACACTAAGATTTACACACCCAAATTGGGTTATTCTTAAGTGTTATTGTTCATAGTCGATAAGTGGTCAATCAACCAGTGTATCACAATGTCCTGTGATATCACCAAGGGTGGAAGGCACTATACAGTAAACATGGCGGGTCTCGGGGTCATTTCATGCAAGTGGATGGATGGATGGCACACAACCCCCGAAAAAGAAGTTAAAATATCCCCAAGCACCTGGAAGTTGTCTTCACCATTCCTCAGCAGGCCTTGGACAGCTTCATCTAATTCGTCGCTGATGGAGGAAAGTAGGGCCACGCGTTCGGCTTCCATCTGTGCCACCTTCTCTTCCAGTTTCACAAGTTCGGTTACTGTTGCACGCCCACCTTCATCTAACCTGACCTGAGGAGGACAGGAGAACAGTGGTTATCGGCAGGGTCGACTTTACTGTCGTCGCATTTTGTGGAGGACGGGCGACAACTGCATGGATTTAACTTTTTGTCACAAAGACGTGAAGGGAAAAAATAAAATCAGAACATCCAAACACATTGAAAAACACAGACAACCTTTCGGCATTAAAGTGTCATTTGCTTCCCTCCTCCACAAACAGACCTGGTTAACCGTCTTCCTCTGGTCTGCTCTATCAATAGTTCCAGAGTCTCTTCCAGGGCACAGTCAATCAAGATGTCAGGGACACAGGAACTAACGGAACAGTGTTGCTCGGGGGACTGTGGGTCATCATTCTGTCTCTTCTTGATAAACTACCCACGCTGCATGAATAATGGTCTCTCTCTCTCTCTCTCTTTTTTTCTTTCATCCGATTTAGAGTCAATACATGGATATCCTGAAGAGATCCTCCTACTGAAGGGGCCTGTCAGAGACGAGAGCGAAGACGCCATCTGTTGTTGTAAAGCACCTCCGATTTTATGTAGCAGCCCTTTGAAATAGTGCTGATGTGCCACAAATATAACCTTTCAAACCTTCTCGGGGTTTGCATGATCACAGGACGTTGCCTTGAATACATAAGTTACGATTAAAAAAAAAAAAATCATGGCATGGCATTTTTTATTTTTTCTACATTATTCCATTTTAATCGAGACCGCACTTACTTCATCCAGTTCCAGTTTAAGTAGCTGGTATTTTTTGCAGAGGAGAGCGTGTGCATCCTCTTTTGAGTTCAGCTGTGCGGCCAGCTTATCACACTCATCCTTCATCCTGTCCAACTTGACGCGCAGCACCTCGCACAAGTTCGTCTCCGACACTGCGGCTGCCTAATGGAGAGCAGGTGTGTTTACGATCATGATATGCGCAGGGATAAAAGGACTGGATATCATCAATTTATACGTGAACCCTGGTCCATTTGAAAAATTTTCTCCGTCTGAGCTGGCAAAGCCAGAATGCCTTAAACTTGCAACCACAAAACTACCCTACCACCCTATTGTTGCTCACATGTCTAGATGTTTTTTTTTTTTTGCTTCGACGGATTTCTGCATAAAAGGGCTGCTTTGTGGAAAAAAAAATTGCATCAAGTACTAATTAGAGTGGAATTAACAACACGAACTGAGAACTTGGGATGAACCGAGTGACAGACTGAGGAAAAATAAGAGAAAAATTGAGGGAAGGAAACCGACAGAAGGGAAATGCAAAATTTAAGCTGGAGGGAGGTGACAAGGGAAGGGATTAAGAGGGAAAGGGATGATACAGTGGGGGGAACCAAGAGAGGACAAGGACAAGGAAAAACAGCTATTCAAGCTTCCCAGCCCCTCAAAGTTGACTGCAGCAAAATCGAAATAGACTCAAAACTCGAATATCGGGTGGACATGCACTGCAACCACGGTGTGGAACTTCATACAATCTCGTCCTTGTTTTCACCGAACGGAAATATGACACCATTACAACGAGCGGTGTCCGATAATGCCAATGAGGACAGCTAATGCTACATTCACCCAATATCAGGGAGGACCTTAAAAACAATGAAGGAATCATCACTCCATCTCCTTAAGCAGGGAGTCGAGGTTCACGCTGGAGGCTTCAAATCAAGAGCAATTCCACATTTACGCTTCACTGCTTTAACGAGGCTCGAAGGGTCGGGGGATTAGCGTTCGTATATTCATGCCTGGAGCCTTGAAATGATCATGATGATTTACGCAAAACATTCAAATCCCAGCTAAGATGCAGCTGCTCACCCTCAGAGGGATGTGCCTAAAGCCCCTGAAGGAAAAAAAATCGACACATGAGCCATTGATAAATATTTGCTGCGGATGGCATTCAATTTTCCGTGAGTACCGGCGTGAGGAAAATACTGTGCACCCTATGGTTTGATCACGGGTTCCACAATGAATAATTCACCTTCACGTCATTTAGATGTGACTGGATTTCATCGCGCTGCTGGCGGCAGAGTCGGAGCATGTCTTGCATTTCCTCGCGCTTCGTCCTGCCTCCTTCAACTGCGACCTTCAGGTTGTCCAGCTCCTTCCGATGAACCTCTCTCTCGAGCTGCAGCTGTTTCCGTAGCGTGTCCGGCTCATCCTCAACCGCCGCCAGCTTGGCCTGCAATTCCGCCGTGACCTTCTGAAGCTCCTTCTTGGAAGCTTCCGCCTCACTCAGGCGGTGCGCTAGCTGGGCATGAGCTGAGGTCATTTGACTCAGCGCGACCTGGAGCTCAGCCTGCTTATTCAGGTGTCTCTGACTGAGACGGGTTTGCGTGTCCGCCTGCTCGATGAGCCTCTGATTCTCTTCCCTCAGTCTTGCCAGGTTCTCCGACTGACGCCGAAGCTCCATCTGAAGGGCATCAGAGGACTCCTTGGCCTAGAATGAAAAGTACATATTAGAAATGATAAGAAAAGCGCGTGAAGTCACGCCAAAGAAATCACAGAAAAGTCGAATAAGCACCGCAAGTGCTGATTGTTCAATGCTCAAACATCTTTTGCTTGTTCTGAGAGTATTGAGGGGAAGGGACGTTCAACCCTGACCTCCCGGATTTCCTGCTCTCGAGCCAATTGGCACTGGCGGCTCTCGGAGAGCGCCACGTCCTTGCGGTGCAGCTCCTCTTCACGCTGGGCCAAACGTTGTAGGCTTTCGGCCAGCTCTCTGCGGGCAGCCTCGGCCTGCTGGCTCAGCGCCTTCAGCTGGGCGTGGGAGCCCTCCGTTTCTTTGGCTACCTGCGGAGAGGAACAGAAAGAGTGGTGGGCGAGAGTGATGGAAAAAATGAATTACAGAAGACGCTGGGGAGGCGAACGGAGAACAAAGCACAGCTCTGACAACATTTGACGAGAGCAGGAGGAAGACTGACGGGGAAACGGCAGGAGCGGGGACGTAGGCGGCAGAAAAGCGTCCGCACGTGGCAATGCGTTCGTTAAAGGACGGTTGGCGGGTCTGTGAGGGGCAGATTGCGTGCGGGCCTTTGACTGTAACTGAGGAGGACTATGCTGTAGCTCAAACTAATCATTTCATCGAGCACTTGATTATACATCCTTATTTACTAACAGGGTGGAAATGAATTCATACTTACTTCATGTCACATCAAACATTGCGGGTGGGAATCTCTCGCTCTGACTAGCTGCCGGTAACGCAGACTAAACTCTGACAGCAGTTGGACAGACGCCAAACGCGCCATCTCAAAGCACAAGCAGTCGGGTTGGGCAAGCTGCCATGAACTTTTCAGGACCCGGCTGAAGTTCTGAAGGTGTTGAGTAGCTGGTCCACAGACAAAATTAAAATTGACAGCGCTCCTTCTGAATCCAAGGTTCGACAGTTTGTCCGAAAAGGCCGAGCGGGACTTCCTCTTTGGTATCCTTCAGACGGTGTCCAACAATTTTTTAAATCATTCCTGCCAAAACAGGCAAGCGCCTCTGTCTCAATGTCCCCCGTTTCCTCCGAAACGTGGGCAAAGCTCTGCAAATGTGCGGTGAAACATCTTCACCTGTTTAGATTTGGTTCACTGGTGAACATTCAGAAGCACTTCAAATTCATTCCCAAATGCCCAAGTTAGAAACGCTCCCTTTTGTTTCAATTGAGTTGGACTTTTAATATAAAGCTACGCGCCATTATTTCATCATCTCTTATTGATGGTGTATTGAATACTTGACCGCGGTTCCCCTTTTGTGCTTGTTTCACAGGAAACTAACTGCAGTGAAAGACCATCGTGAAGAAACTACCCCAAATAAAAAAAGCATAAATAATTCAGCTTATGTCGTTTTATGCAAATGGAAGCGTTTATTCCTGTGCTCTGAAAAAAAGATGCTTGTTTGAGTATCCGACCACAGAACCAGCTAGGTTAAGGTATGAGATATCTCGTTCTTTTCCTCACCTCTTGGAAGCTTGTTTGTGAATGTTGTGGATGCTAATAATGGCAAAAACATTTTTTTCCACCTTATCTTTTTAAACAGTGAGCACTGGTACCTATTTGCTGCATAATTGTATATCGACGTCTCGGTTCAAAGTTCGATTTTTCAAGTTATCAAATTAAGTCGCTTGTGCTGAAATGTGATGAGGCTACCTTTTCAATGGCACAATCGACAGAAATTTGTACTCCAGGAATGCAGACGTGTCAAAAGCACATGAGTTGGGAATATTTACTTCACGGTGATTTTGGATCGGGCCAAGTGTGGCAAGGGGGTATTTCGCGACTGCATAGCAAGACTAAATCAAAGCATCAAAACAGAACGTGTGAATGAATCGGTGTTTGGATTCTTATGCATGTATGAGAAATTTAGAATGACAGAGTTAAATCTAGTGTGGGGAGCACACCTTCAGTTGTCACACACAGACTCGGCGAATATATAACACAGTACGTACCTCTTCCTGTCATTGAACAAATGCCTGCCCTTGACTGACCTTTGCTGCCTTGTCAGTGTGCAGCTGAATGTGGGCCCGGGCCTCCTCCAGCTCCTTCTGCAGTCGATTGCACTTTGCCCTCCATTGGCGCACGGCCTTTTGGGCCTTGGCCCTCAGTTCTTCTCTGCTCCTCGTGCTCTCCTGGAGTAACGCCTCAGTCTCGGTCCTCTCTGTCTGCCCTCGGCTCTGAAAGGAAAGGTGAGCTATATAGATTGAAAAGTTTTGGGGTTTTTTGTTTTTTTTTATTCCGTATGTGTATCCTTTTCTACCTAAAGTAAATCAGTATTTTCACCAAGCTAATCTTTGCCACTTGAGTCCAGCGTGAAATACTTAAAAGTGGAGTCAGTGAACTGAATAATCCTCTCAAAAGCACTTTATGATCCTAATCTAACAAACAAAACAAATCATCGTTCGCAGCATTAACCGATGAAACTGAGAACCACCTGCATATCCTTCAGCTGTTCAAGCATTCGGACTTGCTGTTGCTCCCGCCGTGCCAACTCTGCAGACAAGCCCTAGGTCACAGAAACGAGGGGTAAGGGACCAAAAGAACTTGCGGAGGGTTGAAGCAGTTAGTGTTAAAGCAACAAAGATTCCAAAAAAAAGAGAGAAACACCGGTCAGAGAAAGCTCAGAATTAAAATTGGATTACCTTTTGAAGGAGTCAGAAAAATAGTGCACAAATCGTTCCCGTTGGATTATTTTATATCTCCCAACAACAAGCTGGAGTCACTTTGAAGTTCTGATGTCTAAATTCTAAAGTTTGAAGTATTTAAACCAAGCACCGGTAGTGCAAGCAGTTAGTCATGGGCTGATTAGTCACAGAACAAGTTCACTGAGAATAAATCCAGTCATGGCCCTTCCATTTATTCATCTTATTTATTCTTTTTTTAATGAATCAGTTTGATGTCCATTTAGCGATGCCCCAGATGATACATCCAATTCACGGTTTAACACCTACAATACAGGAAAGCATGACATCTTTTCACTTTAAAAAAAAAAAAAAAAGTATTAACATTCCAGCATCTTTTAAATATGTGTATTGAAAGGGGGTGTTTGTGCTGTATGATTATTTTACCACTTTGCCTGAAATAATTTGTACAGAAATAGATTTTTCTTCCATGTAGTGCGGCGTAGATGCCACACAGGAAACTTGATAATTCAAAAACACAATGTCGGCATTTCGCTACTCATCAGACACCAGACCGATTGTTTTCTAAACAGACATGATGCACACACCTCCAACTGGATTCTCAGCTGGATGCGCTCGCTCTCCTTGCGGTCCACAGCATTCTTTAGCTCCTCGACCTCACTGCTGGCCGATCCCCTGCGCAGTTGAGCTCGCAGTTCCGCTAACTCTTTTTCCATGTCTGAACCATTGACACACATTCAATGCAGAGAGGACACTCGCAGGAAATAACTGGAATAAATTTAAAATACTTATCTCATGACAACAGTGGTTGTCAATAACAGTACTTTTTTTTTTTTATGTCACGGGGTTCTCCACAATTTTTAACTTTCCTCATTGGATGTATTAAATATCCATCCACCAACCTACCTTTCCACCTTCCGTTATTCATTCAATAAAGATGCATTAATGAGCTTAGCAATAAAATGAGGCAAACTGCCTAATCACACTCCTGACACCTACAATGCGTACCTTGTAATCTTCCCTCCTCCCTGCTTGTATGGTTGCCAGGGATGGGCTGACTTGGCTGTAGCCAGGCCCTCTGAAGCTCCGTTTTCTCCTTCCTGCTCCTCTGCAGCTCACCCCGCATATTCTCCACCTGCGAATCATCACGCACGCATGGCACAAAAACGCTGGGATATTCCCAGTGTTGGGGATTTGCTTCACTGGAGTTTGCGGCATGGACTCAAGGTTCTGTGTGTCCGTTCGTATTCACGCAGAGCGCAGTTCATCCAGAGAAAATAAATACAAACCTGTTGAACCAGTGACTCTCTGCTGTCCTCTGACTGATCTAGTAGTCTCTTCACTCTCTCCAGCTCCTGCTCCATCTTGGGACAGCATGGGGGGTGTTATTCGATGATGTCAGTAAAATTGAACAGCGACAAAATCTGATTTCGGCTTTAAGCTAAAGAAATCCATTCAAATGTGTACTCACCTTGAAGGACTTCTCCTTTTCTAGTAATCTGGATGTCATGCTGTCCTCTCTCTCGCTGACATCGATTTTATGTCTCTCAAAAGTCTACAAAACAAACGCACGGGATAGAAACAGGTGTTCTGCAGCAATAACAATGCAACATGACAGGCACTTTAGTATGACATCATCCACCCTCCCCATTTCTTTCGAATGAGCCAGTGGCATAATGGTGCGGGGATTCACATCCCACTCAATCGCGCCCATTGTAAGCAGGCCACGGTGATGGATTGTCAGCTGCGAGCAATAACCTCTACCCAAGCGACTCATCGACGTGATTCACATGATAGCGGGCCCATCGGTGAGGAATAAATGTGCTCTGTGATTCCCCTCTCCTCAACTTTTGTGATAAATTAGATTAGTTTCCTCTTCGTTTCCTTGTGTGTTTATTTACTCTTTTGAGGGGGAAAATTTACTTCTCCTCACCCTTGGGTGTGCTGCTTTCCCATGAGGAGACTATCCTGGCGAGGGATATAAAATGAATCGGTAGCTGCTTCCTACGCGGAAATCGGAGCTCATTCCCAGGTGAGCAGTTTTTTAAAAAAGAAAATTCTAAAGCAACACAGTGACCCCTTGTGGTCTACAGCAAAACGACAGTATGTAAAATGCAGACAACTTGACTCTCTTCTCCAGCAACTTGGTTATAAAATGTCATTTGTACATCGACATTGTTTAGGATGTGCATACACACAGATGTATTGGAAGCCTAATTTTGTTTCATTATTATCCCTCAATCAGCAGATGCATGAAGGCAAGTACAAGTCACTGAAAGGGGTCAAAGTGCAAGCTTGCCACATTGATCCTGTGGACTGAGGGTGTTCAGTGTATTTGAGGAAATAACACTGCATCACTAATCTGGTGAGCAAATTTTACTGCAGCTGTGGATACGATAATGGTAAGTTGCTGTTGTTGCTGATATTCGAAAATTTAAGTTGAGAATACAGGTAAATAATTCATTTGGGCTACTTTTGTCTTGCAGGAAGCAAGGTGATGGTCGCTTCAGGGTGCCTTGCTATCCTGAAACAACGTCACCAGTGACCACCACCTGAAAAGTTCATCAAATTCCGAGCTGAAGCAGAAACGCACACTTACAGAGTCCTGTCGCTGACTAGGGGCCATGTGGTCGGAGAGGCTCTCAATTGCTAGCCTGGTGTCAACATCAGCCCTGTCAAGAAATGACAAATACTTCCTTGTCTACTTCCTCAATTCAAAAGCTGTTCTTATGTTCACAGACAGCATAGTATATCAAATATTACCTATTTCTCCTGATGATTTCTTGCTCCAGGTCGACTGATAGTCTCTGTTGGTCACAGCGGAGATCTCTCATGGACTGGTGCAAAGTGTGGATCTGTCATTGTCAGAATAAATACTGCACTAAAAAACACAGGCGAATTCAAAAGCAGGATCTTGTCTGTCAAACAAAATAGCTGCCTTAGTTACATTCCAATTAGGGCTGGGCAATTATTCAAGATCAACATATATAGCAATGGACAGGGTATCAATGTCAGTATCGTTTATCATTTAGATCAGGGGTGTTCAAAGTCGGTCCTGAAGGGCCGTCGTCCTGCCTGTTTTCCTAGCATTAGGACGACCCTGATTATTTGAAATAAGTGTGTTGCCCCTGATTTAGATAAACAAATTAACATCCCCAAATTGTAATATACCAATACATTGCACTGCTGCTGATATTTTTTTCCCTTCAGAACATTTTGTGAATGCACGTAACAACTGGCACTTCTGTGGTCCTTACGTCCTCTCCTGAATAGCTACTATTCTTGAAGCGAACGCTTGCGGAGTGAGACCTCCTCCTCCTTCTCATCCCTGGCGTTCCTGCGTAGTCCTTTAGCGGGGAGGTCGGTTTGCCATCTGCAATTGCACACGATTGCAGGCTGTAAAATACTAATACAAGGGGTCACATTGGAATGAATGAATGAATGAATGAATGAATGAATGAATGAAGCGAGACGAGCCCAGTGGAAAACTCAGCCAAACACTTCAAGTCACAGGCTGCTTTATGACTCTGCCTGTTTCATCTACTTTAAGCATATTAAGATCCAAAACAAGAGTTTAGATGCTGAGGCTCTGGACCTGATCCAGGGCAACCATCCAGGTCACTGGAATGCAGGCTGCATGCGGAAGCGCTACTGTGAGCACCATTGACCCTGCTCAGCCTCTGCGCCTGCAGTTGACTGATGGACTCCTCCAGATTATCCCGAAGCTAGAAAACAGAAAATGGATGCTGAAACAATAAACAAGCAGGTTTGGGAGAGGACTGAGTCAAGGCTTGCAGGATCACACTTCCGGGCAGGGGTGTCAAACTCAGGTTCTGGAGGGTCGCTGTCCTGCATGTTTCCCAAGTCTCCCTGTTGTAACACACCTGATTCAAATGAACAGGTTCAGTGTCAGGCTTCCACAGAGCTTGCATCGATGATCTGAAAACATGCAGGACAGCGGTCCTCCAGGACCGGAGTTTAACACCCCTGCTTCTGGGGCTGACTTCAGCCTAATTTGGCATTTAAGTACTCGTTTAATTTCAGGAAGCAGAATATTAGATCTCAAGGGTGGGTTACAACAGAGAGTGTACTAAAATAAAAATGAGATGACGCTGGCCTTGTGCAATTCAAAAGCCATCTGTGCAATGTGTACCGTAATATAATTTCATGACACTGGGAATGGATTGAACAGGTGTTTTACCAAAGCCATGGCTTCAGCCTGGTCATTGGTATGCTCCCTGTACTGGCCCAGCATCTGGTCCACCTTGGTCAAGTTCCGATTGGTATCCTGCCAAAGAGACAAATCATTGAGCGGCCGCTCAAAGACAAGTCAAGCATTCACAACAATCATGCTACTGTGCATCCCAAAGCATCCATCCACACTCATGCCATTACGCATCAAAAATGTGAGTTGGCTCTGCCTGTTTATAATTATTTGACTAATTTTATAATAATATAAAAATAAAACTAGAAGGCATGAGTACGAGTACCTGCAAAGTGCTGCACAGTGTGCTGATCTTCTCGGAGATGTCAGCTGCACGGCCGTCACCTGCTCGCCCACTGGCTTGGCCTCTTTCCCGTACAGGTTTGCGGTGGGCTTCGAGCCCCTGCCACCTGTGTCCACGCAACCTGTCACTCGAATCTGACCCACTGGATGTGTCCATATTTTCGATTTATGGTTCGACTACACGTGGCCATGCAAATCTTTTAAGTAGCCTGAGTCTCCAAAAACGCTCAATGGCAAAATAATTGCACATTACATTCGCGACGACATTGCCAAACATTTGCTTTGATGCAACACGAATTTAACCCCTCTAAGACATTATGAGACCTGTAAAATTCAAAAATCCGTTTTTTGCCTTCCCATTCAAAGCTCTCATTGTGCTGCTGCGGGATGATTCACCGCTTGATCAACAGGTGGCAAACAGTAAATGCTAGCTAGCTAACCTAAAGCTTGCCAAACTGATACTGATGCAATAAAATAACGGCCGCAAAATGAGACAAATGTTCCGTGAAAACATATAAAATATATTCCACTATTTCGTCGCCCACGTCACACGCAAGTTTCTAGTTAAAAGAAAACAGCTGAAATTATGCATCCCCGTACTATGGCAACTTGAACTAGCCGCGTCTGAGCAGGACAACGACCAACAACAACCACAGAGAAAAGACACACTGGGAATTGTAGTCCTAAAACAATGTAAACTGAGGGAAGGTGCTTCTTGTGAACTACAATATCCACAAGGAGGCTTCTGCGCTGGTGCGGCCACGCCTTTAGAAAGGAAAATGTATTGTAATTATCAAAAGTAGTACACTGCTATGATTTCTGTGGTTGACAATAAAACAAATGTGACAGATAATAATCATAAATTATTACTATCCACATAACTTAAAATAATAATAATAATAATATAACTTTTATTATTATTATTAATAATAATAATTTAATTATTATTATTATTATTAAATATAACTTTTATTATTATTATTATTATTAATAATTTAATTATTATTATTATTATTTTAAGTTATGTGGAGTCAAATCCATGCATGATTTTGGAGCCTACGGATTCGACATAATTGTCTCCTGCAGTACACGAGGCTGCCTGTTGAGTGGTGAGTAACATTATACCGACAATAATGAGCGAGGGGTTGGGAGTTATTCTCCAATCTAACACAAGAGTGTCTCCTAAATCCACCCTCAAGATGAAGACCACCTCCAAAAGCCACTAAAGAGCTCCAGCTGCATGCCCGTCCTCCAGCATCTCTCCTGTACCTTCACAGCCTCACACACAGAACACCCTGGAGAGGAAAGTGCGCGCTCTTTGCAAGGTTTTGGGCAATAATTCAAATGCTATCCTGTATATATTTGTACGAAGATCATCAAGGGGACCACAGAGACAAGAAGAGAGAAGAACTATATCATGCAACTGATAGTATGCCTCCTGATTATCCTCCACTTGAACACTGCGTCCAATGCTGACAACTGTCCTGATGCCTGTGAGTGCTCAGAGTGGAGGACTCGCACCATCTCTTGCATTGACATTGATCTGATCCCCAATTTCCCGGCAAGCACAGAGACACTGTAAGTACAATTTTATCTGTACAAGTATTTTTTCAAAGTATTTTATTTAATTTTTTTAAATAGATGTTGAATATAAAAATTGGCTCGTCAACTTTGATTTTTCCCAGCACACTTTGCTGGAAAAATCATTATAATATAATGGCTATTACCCCAAAAGTGCTCCCACATGGCACGAAGAATCTGTCAAGTAGTCACATTATCTGCCTATTTGACTATAATAGTGTTAAAAGTCAGTAATGTGATGTCAATTCTCCATTCAACAGTTTTTTTTACTTCATTCAGGATTTAAATGTGATAGAAATTGAAAGACTACACTCACAACCACAACACGGCACTGCACGAATGATATCCAACTGCAACGTAATTAACTGCTGTAAGAGATATAACAGTGGAAAAAGTAAAACAATGTTCATGACAATTATACAGTCCCCATTATAATACGTTAAACAACAACCTATGTGTCAAGAATAACCAAAAACAGGCATTTGATCACAACATGACATGATGACCAATCATTAGTCATCTACACAGACGTCAGTTTAAAAACAGGTATATTGTCTCCTTCATACAAAGTGCTAACTTTGATGCAATGACTATAGGAATCATTTGTAAAGTTTCCTTCATCTCGGTGTATTCAACGTTCTCATCCTGCGTGTCTGCGCGAGTCTTTCGAGTCTGTGTATGCTTTAAGTTGCCTACCAAAGGAGAAATGCCGTGCAAATAAATGTATGCGAGAGGTAGAAAGTGTCAGCACATGTGCACACTTCTTTGAGCGTCAGAAAGGTCACTGCATGTCTCGGTGAGAGTCAGAGAGGTGGAAAGGAAAGCAAAGACACGCTTAAAAAGCCCGCAGAGCATGACACTTGACTCATCTAGGCCTCGCGTTCAAATACAATGTTTACCTTTGGCAGCATGCTTTGCAAACTCACAGATAGTTCCTTCTGGAAAAAAATGGGGGGTGGGGGGGAGCCTTTCCAAAAAAGAGGTTATTCCTTAACCCATGCAAAGACTTAAAAGATCCAAGATCGCCAAGCCAGCCTTCAAAATGCCATTTTCATACCTCCCTCCAGGTTTGTGACCGCAAAATGTATATTTTCTTCTTTCTCAAGCAGATGGCTTTTCGAGACGCGCCTGTCATCGGTGCCATCGGACGCCTTCGCCAACATGGAAAATATCTCGCGAATGTGAGTAGCAACAGTGTTTGGTGTGATTAAGTCTCGTCAAATAAACAAACTTCAACACGGCCCCTTGAGGGCCGCTCTCCTCCACCTGTGCCCTTTTTAACTAAACCAAGCCTTGCGCTTGCTCACCCTTTTCTCCTTCCTCTCTGTCTCACACCGCACTTAAGGGATTGACTCGCTCTCTGCCGAGTATCACCTTTGGCTGCACAGCTGGAAGCATTAATGCATTCCTGGAACTCCACTCGCGCACTTTCGACAGCAGGAAGGTTGTGAATACTCATTTAACTTCAAAGGGGACTCCCTCGAGAGGAGGCTGAGGCGGGAAGTAAAATCTATTTGAGAGAGTGGCTTTCTCTTATCCTACTATTCTTATCATGCAGTGTCTTCCACCTTAAAGGGTCATGACATGAAAAAACGTCCCAAAATCTTTAATCGTTATCTAATGATATTGTCTATTTTGATTTGCTTTTTTTTTTGTAAACGTACCCGCTTTTAACACTGAGCAATTGCCTCGTTGGAAGGTTATTGAAACATTACTGTACTTGTTTCCAATTGCACATTGGCGCCGATGACTTGGTCGTGTATGTGGCACGTTACAAAATGACCAGTGAATTTGGAGGCTTAGAGACGCCGTTGGCTCGAAAACTCAGGAAACCACTGCGGTATTGGAACGGTCATGCAAATACGATCACACATACAACTGTTTATTTCTTTTAGATATATATCAGTGGATGTGACCCTGCAAAGGCTTGAGAGGAACTCATTTCACGGCCTGAGGAAAATCACCCACATGTGAGTATCTGAAATGAAGGGCACACGCTTTATAGATCCTGGTTGAGTAAGCTGTTGTATTAGCTCCCTGGCATGATAACCGATAACCGTCAGTGACGGCCTTGAAAGGGCTTCACCCCTTGCTGAGGTTTAGCTCTACATCATCGTGCCCGATTCAATAGTTGCAATATGAAACTAGATATTGGTAATTGGATGTTAATTCTGATATGTGGTCTTGCTGAGGAGAAAAAAAAAAATCAGTACCATGAGGATGTCCGCCAAGGCTGAATTGTGAACTTGCTTTGCAAATCATCTTGCTGTGCTGTAGGTGTTATCCTGCCATATCAAATTGGAGGCTGTTAGAGAAAGACATGCGCGGGAAAAAAAGTTATCAAACAGAAGAAAATGTACAGCCGCCATTATTCGGCTTCTCCTCTTACCTTCCTTCATGCTCCAAGCTCCTGGGGAGAAAAGTTGAGAGAGGTGCACTCTTGTCTCAATTAGGAGATGTGTGTGTGTGCGGCCTCCAGGTGGACCACACACCATTCGACATGACACCCTAACTCTCCACACACCGACCGGCGTACCGAGTCAACACATTTATAACACTACATTTTGGGTGTGATTTATTTCCACTCTCCAATTGGTCGATTAAATGGTTGTGTCACAGTTTGCAGCAGTAACTATAATTAACAGTGACACTTGTACGCGACATGAATTGAGGACCGTAAGTGCTCCTAAATTGCCTACTTGGGTTGTGTCGTGACTAACTGGCAGACTAATTCCAAATCACTAAAATACGGGCAGAAGCAATCATTCCATCGAGCTGAGGTTGGTATCTGGTATCTTTCCGGGGGGTGGTTATTTTATACCTCTCGGGCCTATTTGCCTCTGATTGGTGCGGTACGAGAGATAATAGCGTTTCGCTCGGGTTTCCTTCAGGGTCAGACACAAATGAATGCCCTGCTTACTTTCGGCTCCTCGAGGAGGCCAACAGCAGCTGAAGATTTGAGGTTGTACTTATAAACTGATGATTGGGGCGGGGGGGTCTTGTCTTTCGAGAAACCACAGACATACATACACAGTTCTTACTGGGAATTAGGAGGACACGGAAGATGAAAGGAAGACAAATTCCTCAACACAGAGTCGAGTTACACACAGAAAGAGAAATTGGTCCTGGCCATCAACGCAAGGTGGGATTTTCTTTTTTTCTTTTTTTTTTTTTTTTTAAAAAGACATTTGTGTATTTTTACTTCAAGACCTTGTCAGGCAGAACAAAATGGCAAAAGAGCTGAAATCAACGGAATTGAAACTACAATTTAAACCACCTTAAACCTTAAATTTGGAGAACCTTTTAAAGAATCCACAGAACAAGCTCAGTAGCGGGGGTCACTAAAATACGTCACTGGAAAGCATGACCACATCCTGCGATGTATGTCAATATTTTCATAATCTTTTGAAAAAAAAATAAAGAAATAAAAATTGCAAACCCCAGAGAAAGATCTTCAGTCAAAAGAATTCACTTGACCAAAAAAAGTACCTGAATCGGCAATGGTTTTTAATTTATGAGCTTATAAAACAGCCTACACAAATCCTGTACATCCCCCCCCCCCCACCCCTGCTTTTAGCATCAGGAAGTAAATGAGTCTGCCTGCCTGGAGCCAGGCCTTGAGCCAGAATGTGAATATGGCCAAGACACATTTGGCCTTAGACATAACACAACTGTTCTGTCCAGCCGGGGTGAACCAGCATAAACACATTAATGAAACACTTTTGGGGTTTTTTTTTTTCATTCTTACTTCTGGTTTTGGCTGTAGGCACCAAATTTCCCTTCTCTTGCCCGCTGACCTGCACCTTGTTCATTTCTTCCAGCAGCTTTTAAGGCCAAGTTCAATTCACAGTCCCTGGATCTGTGTGTCTTCCACTGGTTTTATGGCTTGCGTTCACGTGGAAACCTTCAATTTACATTGGTAACATGACAAGTGTATTGTGAAGTTCAACACAACATTGTCTCTTTGTTCAATCAGAGAAATACGGAATGCCAAGAATTTAACCTACGTTGACCCAGAAGCCTTTAAGAATCTCCCGAACCTGAAATACTTGTGAGTACTCATCGCATTTTTTTCCCCACCAAACAAATGCAATGGCTCCATTTTTTTACAAATCCTGGCTGGTGCACCAATAATGACAAAAGTAGGCCATTTTGGATAACCATGACAAGCTGTCATTTTCCTTACGACAACCACATGCACTGTCTCAATGGTTATTTTAAGGTAAAACTACAACCTACTGTTGCCTGAAGCCCAGCTCTGACATCCACATTAAAAGGGTGAATAATAACACTGTAGGTCGAATTATAGCAAGTACGTGACCATTCACTTTAAACAGTCTTTTTGGGCCTAGTAAAAGTGCAGCTACCTTGATCCAATACATGATATTTATGTGTACGGCACCTGACGTGAATTCTCTAGCTGACATCTGGGGAGGCATGGAATTTCATTTATCTTCTCTAACGGCTTTTTCCTGTCCATCAGGGGGATTCTCAATACAGGCCTTAACCACTTTCCTGACTTGAGCAGCATCCACTCAAATGACAACAATTTCATTGTGTAAGTTTTATTTTCTTTTTTTTTTTTTTTTTAAACCAATGCTGAGCTACCTACTTTTTCTCTCTCTCTGACACACACACACGCACAAACACCGTTGTGAGGATAAACAGATTGGAATATGGATGGATGGATGGTTTACAGAGCCATTGAGCATGCAACAACAAGTACCAATATTCTCTGCCCAAACAATTGTTGCTGTTTCATCCAAAGAACAATTGCAGCTTTTGTGCTGGTGTTATCCGCGTTGAAGCCGGAGGCACGGACGGCATGGCTCAGAGGCCCATCGCAGTGGCTCACTTCTTTTCCATCTGACATATTCTCAATGTGACAAGACAATTTGGAACAGATTGGCAGACAAATTAGTGACTTCCTGCTTTGGGCAACTGCTTTGGTCGATTTCCAACCGAAATTTGAGCGCGGTCAGAGCTCTCGAATGGCATTAATTGAAGTGGGCAGGGGAAAACAGCACACCAGCACTTATTATGTGGCCGTTTGCACTTGTTGTGAGTGCATGTTGTGAGTCATCAAGTGTGTGTGGTTTTCTGCCACTGAGTCATTCCTTCAATCAAGCCCCCCTACCCACTTTCATTTTCCAGCTCAAGCCTAAAAAGTGAGAAGGCATCAATCTTCCACCCTGACCGTGCCTCTGTCACTTTCCAGTGAAGAGTATATGTTCACCAATGCACTTAATGCTCTCTTTGTTTGGTTTCTCTCTTTGCAGGGAAATTGTAGATCATCCCCACATTACGGTCGTCCCGCCTAACTCCTTCTGCGGCATCACGAGTGGTTTGTTGACAGTGTGAGCTATGGGCATGACACACACAGTACGCAATGTACAGGATTGCATGCGTGAACTTAATGTTTCTTGTTGGTCTATGTTAGTAACGGTCCAGTAGTGAGTATTCCGAATTAAATGTATTTTAAAATATTTTACGTGCGTCAGATGTTTTTTTTTTTAAATAGTCCTTTCAGCCATCAATCATATTAACTACAATTTGGTGTTGACATGGCATTTTTTTTTTCGTCAGCAGTCATATCATCAATAAATACAAAGGAACCAGTTCCACTGGCACTCCTACATGCGCACGTCATGGCACTATCGCCACCATTCTTCACCGATGAGGTGGTACTGGTCCACGAGGAACTTTGATTTGAAAGTAAACTAGCCCCTCCCACAAATGTACTTCCATTTACCGTACTTTCAGTTGACCAGCATATTTGATTCCTTTTCCATGTGTCTTCCATAACAGTAAAATTGGCCAGCATGTAAATGTTCCAAATTACCCAGGATGCATGGGAACCTTCCTGTAGCTCGAATCATAACATTTATTCCAAGGGAGGTGGGGGGTGGGGGCAGCTGATCAAAAGGTTATTAGCCACTAGGCTAACAAAAACAAAAGCAACCCCAGAAAAAGAATTGCCCCATAAATGCTTGAAATCTAATTAAGTCCGTATTAAAACCCAGAGCACATTGCCTTTGACTAAGACAAAAAAAAATAATAATAATGCTAACCATCAAATAGCTTCAAGAGGTGCAGACAGGTCAGCATGAGCTCACTTGAATAACGTGTTCTAAGAATGAGCGCTGTATGAACACACAAACACACAACAGACGCTCACGGACATGCGGTCAGGCGGAGAGGAGATTGTAAATTTAATACACGGCGCTGCATTTATAGGAAATGTCGGCCTTTCAACCACAAAATTGCGCGGACAGACGAGACGTCACTGTGAACTGCACATGAAATTGCAGTGTAGGAGGTCGTGATTCAAACGACGCAGTGCTCTTCATCTTATTAGGTGAACGCATTCTTTTTTTTGTTTTGTTTTTCAGGATGCTGTATGGGAACGGCTTCAGGGAAATCCAACATCAGGCATTCAATGGGACCAAGCTGGATCAAGTGTATGTCAAAACGCCTTGAATTCAATTGACAGCGGTTACAAAAGAAACGTTTAAAACGACGGAAAATGGAGACGTGCGTTCAACTTCTCACCTCCGAGCGACTAAGTACATTTCTTCCACTTTTTTCTGACAACTTTGCTCAGCATATTCAGACCTCACAACTCGTGGGATTAAACTATTGCTGACATGCGTCGTGTGCGTTTTTTTTTTTTTTTTGCGCTGCAAACGGATCCTCTCTTCGGCACTCCAAACGGGTTTTAGCCAAGCTTTTGATTAGCCCGCTCAAGTTCTCATGGGAAAATGTGGCTCCAAATTGGGCAGCAGGAAGTCTGTATTAAGAGCTGCGTTCTTGAACTCAACTCAGAGACACTGGATTCTTTGTGGCCATTTCCAAGATCAATTAAGATCACAATCGTTGCATTTTGTTTTCAACCTCTTTGCATTTAGGAGATTTAAACATACAAATAGTCACTTAGCTCTCCTCTCCTCTGTTCGAACTCCTACACACGCTTTACGAGAGCCTAACGAAGCCTTTGGTCAGCGACCAGAGTCGGAACACGTGTGCGATGTTTGCGTTGGCGTGTCATCTGCAGTCAAGTGTCGAAAGCCGCCAGCGCAGCCCGACCAAGACAAACACAGCTCCTCGCAGCTTTATTCATCCTGATTAGATCGGAGAGATGTGTGGTGAGGGTACGATCTGTTTAAGTGGTGCTCCGCTGTGTCAATGTCTAATATTAAAGTGAGAGTGAAAAGCGTTTCATTTAAAATACTACGATGAGAAACGAGCGGGAACGAGGCCCGTGGGATTCCGATATTCCTCCGCACCATCGCTCAAAATGTGAACGACCACTTGACGATTTGTACCGTTTGTTTCCCTGCGCAGTGATCTTCACAGGAATAAGTATTTGACCAAGATGGACGAAAGAGCTTTTGACGGCGCCATCAGCGGGCCCATGCTTCTGTAAGATCCTCACACTTGACATCCTGACAATGAACATCCCGAAACAACATCTATCTCGGTCAAAGCATCCCTTCCTTCGACGATGACGTCTCAAAGGATAGAATTGCGAAGCGATGAATGCAAACAATTCATATTTTCTCCTCCGCCGTGAACCCTCAGAGACATATCCCAGACGGGGATCGCCTCGTTGCCCGCCAGCGGTATGGAGTCCCTCAGAGAGCTGAAGGCCCGCAATGCGTGGGCACTCAAGAAATTGCCACCCATCAAAACCTTCAAGCACCTCACCACGGCCAACCTCACCTACCCCAGTCACTGCTGCGGCTTCAAAAACCTCAAGAAGAAACGAGGGCGAGTTTCAGCTTTGTTTTTGTATTGGTCAAACTGACGACGGTGTATTATTATTTTATATTTTTTTGCGTAAGCCGGATGATGTATCGGGCAGCTGCACTTGCATAATGTGGATCTTGGCCGGTACTGAACCAACTCTCTTATACATTGAAGTATGTCGGACAGCGCTGCCATCATCGCTTGTGTCACCGCATGTCGTTATTGTAACACCTAGCAAAAGCCAGATTTGAAATGACTCGGAACAGGACTCCGTCCATTTTCTAAAACGTTTCAACACTGGAACCTATCCCAGCTGAGTTTTGGGTGAGAGGCGCGTGTAGCCGACCAAGAACAAGTACTCTGCCTCTCCAGTTGTGACACGTCAACAATAGAGCCGCTTTCATTATATTAGTTTTCTTTCATTATATTAGCTTTTTTTGGCTGCCTTTACGTACACAACATATATCCTGTATTACATACAGTAGCTGGCGTTCAAAAGTGTTGGAGAGGAATGACACAGTGGGTTTAAGAAAACGCGTTTCCGCTGGTGCTTTAGACAGTGAGATGGAAGTACATTAAGCACTTGACATTGCACAACCACTAATTTCTCAATAGTGTTTTTTTTGGGGTTTTTTTCATTGCGTTTTTCAGATTTTGGGAGTACATCTTCTGCAACATGACGGCGTTCAGTGAGCAGCATCGTAAGCGTTCTGTGGCGCCGACCCTCGAAGGCGTGGTCAAAGACATCCCGGAGGAACCCTACGAGAGCGATTACGCAGGCGGCTTCCACGGCAGCTTGTACTACCACGCCTATTTTGGTGGCCATCCGGATGAGGACGTGGGCTTTGGCGAGACCCTCATGAACCCTCAGGAGGACCAGAGCGAAAGCTTTGATAATCGCCACGATTACGTGGTGTTGTGCGACGAGGGGGAGGAGGTGCTGTGCGCGCCCGTGCCCGATGAGTTCAACCCGTGCGAGGACATCATGGGCTTTGCTTTCCTACGGGCGTCCGTGTGGTTTGTGAGCCTACTGGCTGTTCTGGGCAATGCGGCGGTTCTCCTGGTGCTGCTCACCAGCCACTACAAGCTCTCCGTGTCACGTTTCCTCATGTGCCACCTGGCCTTCGCCGATCTCTGCATGGGGATTTACTTGCTGCTCATCGCCTCGGTGGACCTCCACACGCGGGCAGAGTACTTCAACCACGCCATCGACTGGCAGACGGGTCCCGGCTGCGCTCTGGCCGGGTTCTTCACCGTGTTTGCCAGCGAGCTGTCCGTCTACACGTTGACCGTGATCACGCTGGAAAGGTGGTACGCCATCACGTTTGCCATGCGACTGGATCGAAAGCTGCATCTTCACCACGCGGCGGCGGTGATGCTGGGGGGCTGGATCTTCTGCCTCCTGCTGGCGCTGCTGCCACTCGTGGGGGTGAGCAGCTACCAGAAGGTCAGCATCTGTCTCCCCATGGACATCCAAACCACCGAGGCTCTGGTCTACGTCATCTCCGTGCTGGTCCTCAACGTCATGGCCTTTCTTGTGATCTGCGCTTGCTACATCAAGATTTACTGCACGGTGCACAATCCGCAATACCGCTCTGGATCGAAGGACACCAACATAGCGAAGCGCATGGCCGTCCTGATCTTTACCGACTTTCTCTGCATGGCACCGATTTCCTTTTACGCCATGTCGGCCGTATTGGACCAGCCGCTCATCACGGTCTCCAACTCCAAGATCTTGTTGGTGCTCTTCTATCCACTCAACTCCTGCGCCAACCCCTTCCTTTATGCCATTTTCACCAAAGCCTTCAGAGGGGATGTGTTTATCCTCCTCAGTAAAATCGGTCTGTGCCAGCGGCAGGCTCAACTGTTCAGAGGTCAGACAGTTTCCTCTAAAGGCAGCAGCGGGGCATCCCAAATCCGAAAAGACAAGGACAAGTTCAGAAAAGGAAGAAGTCCGGGCCAGAAAAACGCAACTATTCACCTGAAGAATTGCTCTGCGTGTTCATACCATCCGGTGACCGGCCTGCGGGCCAACCTTGAGGAGAACCAGAACCTGGAGACGTGAGCTAAACACCAGCCGCAGCCCTCGGAGGAAGAGACGTCGAGGCCTTGAAGTCCTTGCCGGCAGATCTGTTTGAATATTTAACAGAATGCTCCAGCGGGCTTCCATTCCAACTTCAGCTGTTTTCACAATTTCAGCTGGGAGGATTTTTATGGTTCCAGTTGGTGGGGAATATCAAGTGTCACTGAAATATGACTTTGACCTCATCTCTTCAACGGTGAGGCCTTGTTATTGAGGCACAGTGTGGCAGGCGTTTGGCACGAGGAGAGATTTGACTCCTGCTTGCATACCGATTTTGGAAATGAAAATTGAGCACATAAAGTAAGACTTCAACATTCAAACGATCTGCACTCATTGCATTTCCCTCCACCGCAATGACCATAACGTTGAGTGGCGATGTCTGTCGCAGTCGCACTATTCATGGTTTATTGTGTGTGTCAAATCGTTACAACAAACAAGTTTCATGATTTTATTCGGAGTATTCTCATGGAATCTAAATTTTTGGATTGCTTCACAACATTCCCCTTGAAAAATGACTTGCTTCTTTTTAAAACTGCTAGTTTGTTCTGATCATTTTCTCATGCAATGATGACTTCCTCTTGTAAAACATTTTTGAAGATATACTGTACTTTCCGACATTATGCTAGTAAAAAAAAAAATGTATTCCTTTAATATTCCCCGTCATGAATTGAATCTTCACAATTATTGATCTCAGTGTCACGCCTTCCAGTTTTATGAAACTGTATGAATTTAATCCAATACATCAGGATTCATCACCGATACCGCAATTTTTGATCCATTTATCCACTTTCTACACTGCTTATGCCGACAGGGAGCTGTAGCCTATCCTGGCTAACGTTTTTTTTGGAGGGGGGGTTCAAACATGAGTGTCATTGCTCTCAGCATTTCTTCCTCGTCATGTATCACGACTTGAAAACTTTGCAGAGGTGGCGCTTCATCTCGCAAAAGAATGTGATCCAGTTACAAAAACAAAACACGAGGGCATAGTTTGGTTGCTCGCAATCGACTAGTAATTGCATACAGGTATGATAACTACAAATATCTTCTGTCAGCGCCTCTCCTTTGGAATGCAAGGGTTGTTTTTCCAGCGAGTGCGATGGCGATACAGTATTTTTCCACCGTCTTACGGAAACAAGTGACTGAAACGATCAGCACAAATCGATTTGCTTTTACTGAGCACGCTCAAAGCAAACACACGTGCGCACAATGTGATAGTGAGTTACTGCAACGTTGCCAGACAGTAGCACATCTGGTTAGCATTTCATTTGCAAGCCGGCATTTCTTTTCAGCTTTCCCAGAAAGGTAAATCAATCCAGATATTTATGAAATTTCAATGATTCACAAAGATATTGACCAGTGAATCTCACAGTGTGAGTTCGTTTTGCTGCAAGTGTTGTGCACACCTTTAGAGTAACTTGGCACTGGTTAGGAGGCAAAACTCTGCCATGGCTGAGCATCCATCCATCAATTTTCAATCGCTTGTCTTCATTCGGATCGCGGGTGAGCTGGAGTCTATCCCAGTTGATTTTGGGCAAGAGTTGCGGAACACCAGTCAATGGCAGGGCACATGCAGACAACCGTTGACACTCACATCCACACCTAATAAAAGGGGAGTGTTATGTAAGCGCAGGGAGAACATCCAAACTGCGCAGAGAAAGAGCCTGCACGACGGGGATACAAACTCAGGCGACCTCTCGACAGTGAGGCAGAGGTGCTGCCCAATTGTTAGCTAAATGGTCGGAAAAAACGTGACTCCGTCGGTGGCTGCAGTCATACGCGCTGCTGGTGGCCATTGCCCCGCTTGACCACCATGCCAGCAGACTGTAACAAAACATTGTGAACAATTCCTCGAACCTCATCAAAAGGTAAAGGCACCATCGCCAAGGGGTGAGCCTTGCATGTGTGTGGATGTGTTATCCAGATTTTAACCTCAGCAAAGCTCAGGAGGTTCTTCGTTGGTTAATGATGGAAATCAATTGCATGTTTTGGGGTTTCTTTTTTTTTTTTTAACGTAATCCTGCGAACAAACCAGACTCAAATACCCTCCTAATAATAACTGGATTTATTTTCACTTTGACTTCCTCTCGTCTGCCTCTCTGATTTTCTAAGTATACCCGAGACTCTCCTTCAAATGATTGGATCAGAACTGGACTATGTTGCTCCTCTGACACCGAGATTATGTTGCTGCAGAGAGAAATTGGAGTGCTTTCAAACCAATCAGCATTTGGGAGATTTACTCTGGGCCTTGATGGCTCAAAAAGCGGTTGTGATTTTTAACTAGCCATCAAGCTCTTGTTCCTGGGAACATAAAATCCCCCCGTATTTATGACGTCATTGCCTGCACTACTCCACGGGCCAGTAGGCATGGACGGCACTCTTGCGGGGTCAAGTTGCCGCCTTTTGCATCGAAACCTCTCAAAAGTGGAAGAGCTGCTCCAGCAAACCACAAAGTGGATATCAGTCAAAGCCTTTGGATGACGAGGAGGAAAGCTTTTTTTTTTTTTTTTTTTTTTATCTACTGTTATGCCTGGCGGTCAAAAAGTTTATATATGGAGCTCTGTTCATAAAGTGAGGCCCGACCAGACCGGCCAGGTGAGACTGCGGTGAGCCAGGTAAGCATAAAGAAAAACAAAAAATGGATATCAATGAGGCCTCTTTCTAAGACCAGCCGTTCAGACTCTTACGCGGCCACAACACAAGGACCCACTTCATCACAAGCATTCTTCAGACATTCTTCCCTTAGCAGGCCTGAATAAAAAGCCTTTGTGATACAAGCCATGATACAGTGGAGAAGTGACAGCCAACCTCAAGCCATATTCAAAAGCAAGGACTGTAGTTCCCGATTCAGCTGTCATCCCAGACAGCAGCACACCTTCAGGCAATGATTACCCACAAGGAAACACGCAAGGGATTTATGGGTTGGGAATTAGGAGGAAACATTTCAATTGCATGCAAAAGATGCTGAGATAGATTTCAACCGATTGTGTGTGGAATTCCATTCGGAATATAAATGGGTCCAGCCTTTTAGAAAACTTTCACTAGTACTACGGTATACTAACATAAATACTGGCAAAAACATGGGCTACTAAGATTAGTCTACGCGCGCACCTCAAAATGTAATTTTGAAACATGTTCACACTCAAAAGTACAGGTTTCTGTGTTTGCTTCCAAATGTCATTTATAAAATGTTTTATTGAACAATACATTTGAACAGCTATTCGAAGTCACAACAGAGCAAAGGTGAGAACATTTCTCAAGACACCCTTTTTGGGGAAGTACACGAAAAGCAGGAGTACAAATCAAAAAGGCACACTCAACATTGAAGTACAGTATGTGGGAACGGCCATGACTCGCCATAATCCACATCGAGCTACTGAATAAAATCTATTACTTGAATTTCCGCCACAAACTTTTGTTTGACTGCTTTAATGCCGACAGACATCAAGGTTGCTCACATGAACATAAAGAACATTGTCTTGCTCCTTTTTAAGGTTGATGTGTATTCACAATATAAATGCAGGGAGCCCACGAACCAGCCATTTGACTCACAAGCCCCCCCCTCAAAAAAAAAAAAAACACCAAAAAAAAAAAAACACGTATTTTATCAAATTTCCGCAACAGCTCACTAAAAACATTTTTTTGATAAACTCCCCTCGTTCCTCACCAAATTTGAACTCCTCAGATGAAAACATGCCGGCTTAAAAGTCAAAAGACGAAAGCACAAAAGGACATCCAAGACTGGGAACAATGTTACACAAGCTTTGTTCAGCCAACAGAAAAAAAAGGAACACTTATTTGATTGTAAGAGCACAGTTTGGTGCAGATCAGGAAAAAAAAAGAAGCTTCTACTTTCATGAAATAAATAGAAAACCGCGTCACTGATGAGCTAAAGGTGACAGACTGCGTTTTGGGAGGTTTAAGCGGTGCTCGGTGATGCGATTGACAAACGCGCGCACATACAGTCGTGCTCGCCTGCTTTAAGCATACACGCGCTTATCAATAAACTGAAGGCTGCAGAGAATTCAATTTAAGAAACAGGGCAGATGCAAATACTCCAGCCATGGCTCTGCTTCGATTTTACTTCATGGAATGACGCTACACACACACAAAAAAAAAAAAGGGCCAAAAACAAAAATATTTGGAATTATAACTTGTTAGATTTAAAATAATGTCTTTTTACAGCTATAAATTATTTAACTTTTAAGTTATTTTACCTTCTTTGTTATAACCCTTCAATTTAAAAGAAACTTTAAAACAATTACCAGGCGACGCTCTTAACTCCGAGTACCTTTTTCAGAAACAGGCCTTGGGACTGAAATTCCAGGGATGGCTAGAAAGAAAAGTGAGGCCAGAAGTTAATTCTGGCAGATGTGAAGGCAACAATCTTAAATTTGGACTTAAGTGCTGACGAGCATAAGCAGCCGATCAACTCGCAGCGCATCGACACACTTTCAACGTCAGCACACTCTGGTCCTCCGACACCTGCATCATGTGAAATGTGTGGGGATTCACTCGTGGAAAAATGGAAAAGGCTGAGAAACAAAAAGGAGGGCAAACGTTCCCTTTCGCTGTCGGTTTCTCATCCCGCGGGGCTCGCTTGCCGAGTGCGACCAGTGACATCCGGCTTGTAGTCAAGGATCTTGCGTTCCTTTTTCGGATTCTTCACAACTCTACACGCTTCCTGCAATCAAATCCAGTCACGGGATATGGAAGGATATTGATATTGTCCATAAAGTGGATAGGAGGAGTAACAGAGTTCCTGCTCCTGTCGCTCGGCCTTGTCTTCCGGCCTTCACCATTCGGCATCCCCGATGGCTTTGGAGAAAACGTAATCCCTCCCGTTCAAATTCATGATCCCGTCCTTCAGATGAAATTTCCATTTGTTCTTACTTCTGTGAATCTGCAAAGTAAGTCGGGAGAGGCTGATGAGTGTCGAGAGCGCGAGGGGGACGTCGTTGGGGTTTACCGGGTGTCACATAAAAGGTGACTGGAGGAGCTGCCCTGTTCCCCATCTGCCGACCAATTGCCAGCCAGTTAATAAAAACAATTTGGTGCCATGATTGTGGGATTTAAAAAAAAAAAAAAAGCAAAACCTTGCGTAGTAGTTGAAGCAATACAGCAACACAGTAGCACGCAGCTCAGGAGCTTGATCACAAAGCCTTCGAGCTTTAATCAATGCCGTGTTCAGGGTCGTCATTCCCTGCCAAATTGCCCCGTGGATTTAACCAAGTGGATTTGGATTTTATTGATGTACTTATTAAGAGTAATGGCACAACACTGAACCTCAAGCCAAGCAGGGATGCAGCGGCGAAAACGCACTGAATGTTAATGTTTGACAAAAAGGGGTGTGGCCACCTTCCTTTGAACCTTATATCTTGCAAGTATTGTTGGAAAGGGAATTCAAGAAAGATTCCAGATCTGCAATCAAGTTTTTTGTTGCCTGTTTTAGTACCTCTACCTTTTGACCTATAAATTAACCTTGAAATTGACCTTGCAGATTACATGACCTGGACACTTTTCATGAAATGTATTCTCTCACGTTCTGTAAAACGTAGAAAAGTTTCAGAGATATATTTTTGAGGGGTTTGCATTCACTTCAAATCATACTCCACAACACTTACCTCCATAAGATGTGACAGACTATTGCGGCCGGCAGTGCAAATTATTTGACATTCGCATGCCGGCTACTCTAACCCCCGATGACTCACCTTGTCATACTGGCACACAACTACATTCTCCGTGTCAAACAGCTCATGGTCCTCGGCATCACTGACATCATCACTGCTGTTCAGTGGCTCCTAAAAAGGAGAAAAAAAAGATACATAAATAAACATGAACAACTAGCAGTGGACCGCCACACCACAAGCGACTCAAAAGGCAACAGGGACGACGCCGCTCACCTCCTCCACTTGCCCATCCTCTCCCCCGTCCTTGTCTTTCTCCTCTTCCAGATCCTCGTCATACTCCTCTTCATCATCCTCGTCTTCATCTGACGAGGTGTCTCCGGCGCCGTCCACCTGTAGCATCATGGGAGGCTGAGGCTGACCCGGGGCCGCCTGCTGAGCCTGTGCCTGCACCTGGGCCTGTGGCACCGCTGCACCCTGGGCCTGCTGGACTTGCTGCACCTGTGCCGCTTGACCCGGCTGAGGCGCCATCGCGGCTGCCTGCGTCACCTGACAAGACAGGAAAACGAGATGAGCATTTGGTATTTGGTGCATTAAAAGACAAGCCTTTGAAATCCACCAAGCCATGAGATGGCATATGGAAGAACCCACACTGCTTGCATGCTGACCTGTGTGTTGCCTTGGACTTTATTTCCTGGAGCTAAGACGAGCTGTGGCTGCTGGATGATGACTCCTGTTTGCTGAGGAAGGCCTCCTTGTAGAGGAGCCAAAACCTGCAACCCAACAAGTCAGAGCAATCAAGTCAATCCAAGAATTTAGTTGCACACGCAGAGAAATAGCACAAGAACTCCGGCACATCAAGTAGGGAGTCTTTCCAAAAGGGTTGGCGATACATTTGATGTAGCCACTAGCAAAGCTGCTTCAATGAGGATAAATGAGCCACGAGTGTGAGATATGTACCTGCTGTATGACCGGAGCCTGCACTGAGCCAGGTTGCATCTGCTGCTGCAGAAGGATGGGCTGCGGTGGCTGCTGGATGATGTACTGAGCCCCGTTGGGTGCGCGCAAAACTTGCACAAACTGACCTGAGGAACCGCAACGCCGCCAGGCGGTCGTAGGATTCATGATGCAGTCCGCAGTTTAGTAGCGCTCTACGGGGACTTTTTAGCGCATGAAAAGGTGACGTGGGGCACTTACCTGAACTGGTGATGAGCTGTGGGTACGGTGTAACCCCAGTCGGCAGAGCAAGAGCAGCTTGTGTGGCTGCCGCACTCTATCAGACGAATACAGCATGCACATATGACAGTTAGAAGCAGCCCCACAAATCACATTTTGACAAACTAATATGTTAGCTGAGCAGGATCGATTCTCATCTCCAATTCGCGGGCAGAATACGAAAAAGAACACAACAAAGCATCTTGTCACTCTTCAATTGTGTGCATTTACCAGCGCTAAAACGTGAAAAACAACAAGCGCATAGATGCATACCACTCCCTTAGTAACGAGTGAGCAAACGAGTTTAGTTGTCTGGCACGGTGAGGTAAAGAGGGCACAGGGTAGGGTGTGAAATTTTGTTCTGAGCAGACACACAATCCATTGCAGCACTGGCATCTGGTATGTTCACTTGTGCGTTCACTACTTGCCATCCCCGTTGTCGTCATATGCTGTAGAATCTTGGAATCTGGTACAATGACTTGCTGCTGGGGAGCTGCAGAGAAAAGCGCACCATCATCCGATACAGTACAGAAGATTTTCACAAGAGTTTCAAATAGTTGAGAACCCAAATAATTTTATCTATCAGACTCATTCGGTCACGCCGCATGTATTCCGCTTTGTCATCTAAGGAAATAACGTCGTCTGAATTCTTTTGAACCAACCTTGTTGCTGCTGGGGAGGCAGGATGGCTTGCTGGGCCTGTACCGGCTGTGTCACCTGCTGACCTTGTTGAATTTGCTGCTGCGATGGTTGCTGCTGTTGCTGTTGCTGCTGGTGCACGGCCTGCAGGGCTGCCTGTTCCTCAGTATGGAAGCCATCCACTGCCTTGGATTGCAACAGTTTGCTCTCCCAGAGCTGGAAAAAGTAATTATTTGAAGAAACCACCCAATGTGTCAAATTTTGAGTTGGATACTCGACTTATAAAATCACTAAAACTGTGACTGTCTTCCCTTTTTTTTTTAACTCTTGAATATACTTTTGGGTAAATTCCTCCGTTGTTCAAGCATGTTGCAATAATACTATTACCGTTTTCAGCTCCAGAAGGACTTGTTCATCCACGCCCTCATCCAGGAATAACTCTCGCACCTCACTGATGACATCCTCAATCACAGTCTTGTACAGTTTAGGCTGGAAGGAAGCAAAACAAAAATCACACACTCATCGACCTCACCATTATACTCTATCACAGCCACTGAAAGAGCTGTGTTTAGAATTTTCAGTGAGCAGAACTGGGAATGAGGAGGATTTTTGGGTGGAGCCAGTCAGATTCAATACATATGCACCAACTGAAGTACATTGTCAAATCTGATTTTCTGACTTCATTCAACAAAGCAATGTAAGAAAAGCAAAATGGCATAAATTCTCAGCTACAATTAAAATTGGGCTCCAAACCAAATGTAAAGATCCAAATTAACTCAAAATGTGACGTACTTTAGCTGTAGTTTTCAGTTGTAAAGAACAATATTCTGAACACTGTCATTGTTACACCTCGGTGACCTTGCCCAATAAGAATAAAGAACTATTGATTGAATAGTTTTATGTGTTAATTACAAAAAGTTCTGAATATTTTGCTTTATGTGAAATTTCAGGATGAACATAAAATGTTCATAACAAGTCCCTTTACAGGTGAACTTCATTTACCTTTCTGTCAACTTCGGAATGCACATGTCCAACCGTGTACTGTTTTAACACTTTTAAAAATAACCTTTATTAGTGCACCTATTGTGAAATTACATTTTGTCTCCCCTTCCAATATCTGTACAACCTGCCGTTTTCCATAAACTGCTGAAGCATTGAACAGTTGAACAAATTACAAGGTCAGATCAAAGCATTTTCGGTTCGTTCGAAAATATCGCCTGTAATTTAAAAAAAACAAACTAAATCTACAAAGAATGTGATTTTACAGTGTATTAGGTTGACGAGTATACACTTTGTGGCGAGTTCTAACCACACAACCAAATCGCTTGTCAGCTTTAACTAACTGAACACGCCCAACGTCTCCGTAGCACGTTCATTCAAAATACAAAGTGATTTGCACACAGGCATTGTGAACAAAAGCTGTAGAATGGCCGCGTTCCGTTTGTGAAAACAGATTCGAGTGCCACCGAGGCGATGTGAAAAACGAGAACGTCCACAGTGCCGACGTCGTCGGAACTCTCCTCGCCTTCCCCTCGGCCCGGGCTGCTCCTCCACTATTTAAAGCAGTCTGCTGGTGTTTATAAGCTTAGTCGGTGACGTAACGTCGAGTAGCACCTTCCCATCCCGGCCAGTCTATATAGAGAGCCAATATGGCGGTATAAAACCGGGCAGCAGCGAGGGAGGAGGGACAGAAGCAGAGAACGTGAGCAAAGACGTGGAAGCCATTTTACGGAGCAGCTTGATAGCCTCGCAAAGTCCTCGTTTTATAGCGTGTCGTCGCTCGACGAACGTTTAGGTGGTCATTTTGGACAAAGCGGGGTAGAATTATCGATGGGAGCTGGAATATTTGCGTTTGAAATAAGTGGAAGTGTTTCTTTTTCTTCTTTGCCTTCAAGTCGTGGAATGGTGGACAAATATGATGCGGCACAAGGGAACGTTGCACTCGCGACTTTCGACTACCTTATTTCATCACAAAGAAACAACACTGGTTCGCGGTGTTTTATGCAAGGTGCTTTGCGTACATTTAAGGTCTTAAAATGTTAACTCGGCCCTTTCCCTTTGTCGCTGCTTATTACCCCGTGTTGACGAATAATTGCACTCGACTACACAAAACGCCATAAACGAAGACGATGTGGGTGATTTCTCTTTCCATTAAGTCGATCATCGAGCATTAAAAATGCCAACGGGTGAGATAGAAGCTGGCAACATAACAAGAGCCAAACAATTCACAACTCGTCAAATACGACTCGAGTTTTGAGTCATTACCATCGTTTGTGGCAACACATTTTCTAACATATTTACCATTAAAAAGATTGGGAATAAGGCTACACTTCAAACAATCCAATTGATTGAACCTAGTTTGATTTGTCCATATGCTGGAGTGTGTGGAAATGCTAAATTAATGTGATTCGATTAAAAAACGTGTTCAGTTTTCCATTAACTTTACCCCCATTTTCCCCGTTGACAATCCTTGAGATTGATCCTTACCACTGGGTTCGAGTTAGCCGAGCTCGCCATTATACGCGCAGTCTAAAAACCACACGGAAATGGGCGAGAAATAAAGAGCCAAAAATGAGCAAAAAACTTAAAACAACTGGGAACGGTATTCTAAAACAGCCGGCATCACTTTTGTAAATAAAACAGTTTTGGCGGTCTTATTTACAATCCCGGGCTGCGAATCCCCAGCCGTCCACCGTCCGACGTTGTTCTGCTTTATATACTGAGCGAAGGAGCTGCGAGTGCGCGAGACATAGGGCAGGGTCAAGCTGCCAATATCGCGAGATTTCAATCGGAAGCGACACGCCAGTAAAAGGACATGCTGGGAAATGTAGTTTAATTATGCGTTCTCGTTGCCATAGTTCCACTTAACTAATTTGGCACCTCAGCTCCACATGATAAAGTATGTGTAAACATATTTTTTGCGTACATTTTGAGTGCATGTATAAAAGACACTATCCTTAGTCAGCAACAATCATTTAAATACACGTTTTCGTCCCTCTTTGATGTTCAAACTTTGCAACATGTTACAATACACTTTTGAGGGATTAAATATCTGCTTTGTTATTATTGAACACGTAAGCCTACTACACCACCGTAATGTTAGTCATGGCTGTGGAACTTGGACAGCGAAGTTATTGATTTATTTATTCATTTATTTATTTGGGCAGGACCATAGTGTGAAAGGTTTGAGACCACTGACTTAAACTACAAATATAAATACATATGCGTAACAGTGTACATGTACACTGATACTGCATACACATATTCCCTGCACTTGCGTGCAGATTCAAAGTTACATCGCTAAAGCAGGAACAACTCCGTCGTAAACCGAGGAGCGGAGTTTAGTGTCTCGTGTGGTGACACAAGACTACCACAAGAGGTTGCTCGCACACCATATCGCGTATTTCACGCGTGCTCTCAGCACGCGGTCTTTATGAGCGCTCAAAACGCACAATCCCCAATCCAATCACTTTAGAATGTAACTATGTTCCCACACACACAACCAGCGAGGTGTGAGCCTTGTCCTCTGCATTTAATCAAATATGCACTTGTCCTGATCACCGATCTGCTCTCTCCCGTAACGATGAAGCTTTGCAATAAATGAGAACCGACGAGAGTGCAGCTCTGCTTCCGTCTCCATGGAAACTTGCCTCACTGGTCATTGTGTGTGGTTATGGATGATATATACCAGAAACGTACAACTCAGTCTGCATCTGCTGCACTCTCGTAATCGGATACACAAGTTGTTCATATGACAGATTAGATCAAGTTATGCGCATTTGCACATTTAAATGCTGTATTGACAAAATAAACCAGCGGTGCTGTTGGGCACACACATGCACTTAGTGTAGTTTAGATAATAATCCAATGTGTGTAACTTGACAGAAAATACATGGTGTACTTCACATCTTATAATTCCCTTGCCCACATATATACGCCATTTCCCTCAAAAATGAAAATATATCGGAATCTCATGTCCCGCTCTCAAAGCGAGATGTGATTAAATAGAACGCTGTTTAATGCAAGCCAATTGAGTCACACTCTTAGTAACTGATGATGCCCTCTGAAGATCTTGTGAGTGCATCCCCCTCTGTCTTGCTTTAGTTGCATAGCAACAGAGAAACTGCAAGCTCCAGTTGTGTTGATGGTGGGAGCGGGCCGCACACATGGAGGCACTGGATAGAGATTAAGCCCATCTCAGCTTCAATTATGAATGGACCTCCACTGCCACATGGCTCTGGCAAGACACCCCCCTCTGACCCGTTCGGATTGATAAGACTTTGACCAATGCTTTGGTGCCCTTCTACTCCTTTGCCTAAAGGGAGAACTAAGTTTGAGCTTTAATCATATGTATTGAACTAACATGATTAGAGGACGTAAATGAATAATTAACTGTCAGAGGAGGCACCGTTATGATAAGACCCTTGTTGATGGGAATGCGTGAGGTTAATGATTTGGGGTCAGCTTTGAATAGAGAAGTAAAGACCCTCTGGTTAAACCCAGATATGCATGTGGAGTATGTTGCTGGGTGAAAAAAAAAAAAAAAATATATATATATATGTACTGTATATATATATATATATATATATATATATATATAATCACCAGAGATTGTCATGCAGAAGCTCCTCCTACCTGTCTGTGTAAGCCAATTTGTCCACCTACACATAACTACTCTGAAACTGCTTACTTTATTTCATGACACAATACTTAGTGATCTATTTTTTTTAAATCTTACACTTACAAACACTCCATAAAAATAAATAAAACTCATACTACAACTAATAAAAACCAAACTAAAACAAAGCATCTTTGAAAAAAAACCAAGCTTGCTCTAAAAACTAGTTCAAACCAACTGAAAAGTCAAAACAAAATAAAACGGAATGGTTATGTCAATGTGGTTTGCGACTTTCCAAAGACAACAGCACAAACTTAATCCTCCGCAACTTGGATTTTTTTTTTTAATTATTATTGCAACCAACTGGAAGACAATACATCACATAAACATCATTGCAGTTTCTCAGAAAATGGAAAACAAAATAAAACAACATTTATATATATTTTTTGCCACGGTATTGGACGACGTTGATATTTACATGTAGTGATGAAACAGGTCTGGAACTCATTCTTTGGCAATACGATTGCACAATAAGGGGGAGGAAGAGGAGAGAGTTGAACATTTACTGAAAAGCCAACACACCTGGGTGTACTCTGCGTCACGTCTCGCGGACCAATAACACTTTTGCATTTTTGACATCACTAACCTATGGCTTTCCATTTCTCAAGCTTAGACAGTCACCAAATAGAATGGCAGTACTGTAGACTATATTTTGCTCAAGAGAGCAGAACAGGAACGGAAATTGGCAACTTTTAACTGTCTTTATGTATTTTTTTTTTTTTGTTGTTGTTGTTGTATTTTTCCGTTTGCTTGGCAGCTTTGAAAGAAATACTCTTAGGCGGGGAAGTATACCACTCGCTTGGTCACGAGTTCCTGAATGCAAATGAGCGAGACAGAGGAAGTTTTGTTTTTAAAGCCACATATCTTGACATACCTTTTACCAATTCAACATGACATTTGGCAGCACGTGAGTGGGTTGTTTCTGTAAATACAGCAGAGGGCCTGACCTCACACAGATATCGCACGAGACAGGTGGCACATGACAATACACTGACTGACTGTCTTCTTTTAGCCTTTTTCTATGTTAGCATGGATACCATACCAAATGCCCCCCAAAAAAAACAAAAAATGTCAGTGATGCGTGCTACAGTTGGCAAAAGAGTTTCACCAGTGTGGATGGGACATGCATACGTTCAGAAACTTGGCTCGCTGCTGAAGTTCACGTTTGTGCTGTCGCTTCCAAGTAAATAAAGCGACATTCGAAGCCAGAGCACAAATGGTGGCACAATATCAAAATCGTTTTGGAATGAAAGAACGCCTGCGCTTATTCCTGCTTTGTCAATTCCCAATTAAATCATTCTTTGATTCGCAGCTGGAAGAGTTAACCTTAACAACCTTGAAAGTGAGTGGAAGTAGCTTACCTTGAGCAATGTATACAGTAGATCTAAAGAACAAATTGAGCTGCTTAATCATGCTTGAAATCTTTGAATCTGAAACTGCAAATACATGACTCAATTAAGGATGGGCATAATAATTGAATCATTGTGTGTTTTGTATTTTATTTTTTTTCTTTATTAATGCTGTCTTGGAAGAAGTGAGTGCACTACCTGGCTACAGCCTGCAGAAACGTTATATATATTAAGGTGATACTTGGAGAGCTCAATCTTTTTTTTTCAGGTGGTACTTGATGTATGAAGTTTGAGAACCACTGGTCAGTTTAAAACAGTGCAAGAGATTTGCTCATCCCATCAAAAACAGTACTTTAGAAAAATTAGTCAGTATTAATTTCCCACTTTGGTCTAAAAAAAATGTCAAATGCCCATCCCTAATTTTAACAGTATGCAAAGTTAGGCCTAAAATTATTTATGCTTTGTTTAAAATTTCTCAAGAATAATAGTTTTTGCACATAGTTACGTGATCTCGTCATATCATTTTGGGAAAACAATCTTACGCACCATTCTCAACGATCCTGGCGGCAAAACTGATACCATTCTAATTGCGTGTTAACGGGTACGCCTGTATTCAGAAAAACAGAACGAGGGCATGAATACTTCTGGGCTTAGCTCGGCATCTTTGTGTACAGTATATTAGTGCCATTGAGTGCATTCCTTGTTCTCTTTAATACCTTTCCAAGGGCCTTTGTACGTGGACATATGAGGTTCTTTTCGGACACTGACAACATGCCCATCAGTTTGGGTCATTTACATTGAACAATGCTGATGGAAAGAACACACAAACACACACGCGCACACACACGCACGCACGCACACTCAAACACATGGGTTTAAATTAAAAAAACAATACTGCCATGTGAAACAAAGAAATGTTTGTCAAGACATGTCCAAGACATGACAACAGAGATACTGAAGGTAGGCACAATGTTAAACAAAGTGCTCACAAATGCACGCACACACACACACACACACACACACACACACACACACACACACACACACACACACACACACACACACGCACACGCACACACAAATACACAGATGTATTGTGGAATAACACAGGGGTTAACACTGATCACCAAAAGTCCTAAACCACTGCATGAGCCGAAGACAAGAAGCCAATGTTGAGAAGTGGCACCCTCGGGCCTCGAGTTGCAGAGTTACATCCCCACGTTGCTCCCTGAAGGTGTGTCTTTGAAAGCCCGCTCAAGAACCCGAAAAGGATTCAAATAAATGCAGGAGGAGGAAAAAAAAGAAAAAAAAATCCAATAAATTGATGGGTATAAGAATTGGCGCAAAACTTTTTTTTTTCTTTCCTCTAGGATCAAGGTTTATATGAAAATAAGTCATGCTTCATGCTAAATACATCGTTTATCTTACATGTTCTTTGAATAAAAAAGATTTGCTTTTTATCTTATTTACAAGCACCCATGCAATATAACTGAGAAAGTCCTGCAGGTCAAATTGCTTCAATTAAGAAAGGAAAAAAAAATAAAATATTTTCTAACTTTTTACAGAGTCACCTGCGCGGGACAAATTGCTTATATCTTTATGAGGGTAAAGTGAAGAGGAAACAGACACAAACATGACCCTTAACACGGTTTGTGTATATAGTTCTTGGACACTGTCAAATGAATACGGTAGCCACGGGAAGCTACGATGTCTTTTCCAGGTGTCTCGAGACAGGAAGTACTGGGTAAAGTTTTGGGGACGTTTACAAGATGCAACAACGACAACGAAATGAAGGAGATATTGCCTCACACCCAGCACACTATCCATCTCTATGGTGAGAAACATGAGATTTTTTTTCTTCCCCCCGACGTTTTCATATATCTATTCTTAAATACTATGAGTGCTCTTGAAATAAACCATGTTGCTTTTCTTTAAGTGGCATAAAATAATATCAAGTGCATGAGTATATATCACATTGGGTTTTACAATTATTTTGACACTTACGGTCGTCCTCGTCAAGCTTAACTACCACTGCCTTCGGGTGTTTTTTTTCCTCGTTTTTTTTTTTTTTAAAGTTTATTTTTTTTTGTCAGCTGTCATATTGGCTACATGAAGCAACCTGGTCACTTCTCTTTGGCACAGTCTCACATTTGTGCTCGTGGATGTAAGGAGAGTGATGCTAGGGAAGGGCTCCGCCCCCCCCGGCCCCTTCGCCCTCCCCTCGCCCGAGTCTCGTAGGCTCCGCCGCCTTTGCTGGCATCACTGCAAGATTGCTACAGGTTACGCACGCGAACAAACAAATATGCAAGACAAACAGCCATCTTCTGCCGTTGTACGGATTCACTTTTGCCCACTTGTCCGAATGAATGCTTTACTATGGCTTTCATCCCCTTTGAAAAAAAAAAAAAAAAAAAAAGAACAAAAGACACATGAGAAGTACCCATTAGTGTTGCTGAACATGTAGGAAAACATAGATTTTTGATATTGCCACAAATAAGTAGGATTCACCTAATGCCCTGCAGATAGATAGAGGGAGATGAGACGCGTCCGTCGAGACTAAAACATGTTACCTGTTGATCTATTTGGGTGTTGTACAGTGTGTCTGTGTCGGCGTGCTAACGTGTTCACTCGATGATGTACCGTGTGTCCTTTAGTTTCTCAGGGCCTCTTTCTGCTCCTTCTGGCCCTTGGCGGTGCGGTTTGTGATGTTGTTGAGGCAGGCTCGGACCCCGGCCAGGTGGAGCAGCGACCCCGCCGCCTCCTTCATCTCCTCGTCGTCGCTCTCCGGCGGCTTCTCCACCGCGCGCCGCTTCTTCAGCGGCAGCGTATCGCTAATGCCCCTCGCTCGGTTTTTGGTCCACGTGAAGCTGCTTCCCGCCAGTGTCCCGGGTCCCGCCCCCAAGCTACGTCTCTGTCCGCGCAGGGGTTGCTGGGAAAGGTAGGTCGCGGCGGCGGCGGCGGTGGCGGTGACGTGGGAATCCAGCGGGATCTCCCGGGGCTCGGGTTTGATGTCGGATTGGATTTCCACGGCGATGATGTCGTCGTCGTCCGTCGGAGACGAAGGGGCCGTGGCCTGGGAGGAGCCCAGCCTGCTTGGGGATTTGGCGGTGCTGTAATTGTGGTCTTCCTGAAGGTCCTCGCCGCAAGGTGGAGGAGAGTAGCAAGAAGGGCTGTCCTGGCCTCGTTTCAGATACTCTCCTATGGAAGATCTGTGGGGAAGCAAGGGCACGAAAGGGGGGGGGGGATATTGTTACTACTTTATATATGTATACATATATAGTTAGACTTACTCGCGCAAATGTTTCGCCTCCCTGCAGAATAAAAAGTGTTGGAATATTTATATACTGTATGACAAACATGCACTCCTTCAATGATCAAATATTCACTGCATACCTTCCGTGTATGTTTAATTTATTTTACAGAGCAGGCCATCATAGTCTTTTGCTCTTATGATAGATCGGCATGTCCAGGCATGCTCTGAATGTTCTTGGACTCACAAGATTTTTTATTTTTTTTTTTCTCACTAATAAATATGCTTGTGCGTGTGAATGTGGGATGTTGATATAATCACTTGAATAGAATGTTGGCAAGTGTTTTGACCATGGTTGGGGTGAGTAAACTATTCGTCACGCATGTTGGATTTGTGTCAGGAGCGTATTACGTACAGGAAGTTTGTGACCGGTGCTAAATAAATGGCTGACAGTGGCACGAGTAAAGTCGCCCCACCTTATGGCCGAAGTTCTGCTCCCTACTGGGCTGACGGGAACAGGTCTTATCACAGGGAAGAGTGCCTGGCTCCTGACACGGGCGCCGTTTTGAATCACACCACGAGGAACTGGAAGACAAGAGCAAACACTCACACTTAGAACCCACACCGACGTCAAATTAAATCAAGAGGATGGAATGGGGAATGGTGGTCCCGTGGTGGTCACATCCGCCTGACATTTCTGAAGATGGAGATTTGAATCCGGGCTCCGCTCTTTCTTATGTGGAGTTTGTTTGCTCCCAGCAAATTTCAGTTTGAATGGTCGTTGGTCCAAACCTACCCTGTGATTGGCTGGCACCTCTCACTTGAAGTCAGCTGGTGACTCGAGTAAGGATATGGATGGAAAATGGATGGACGGATGGTCGGAAGAGGAAAAAGCCAGCGGTAGGTTCTCAGAAACACGATTAGATGGCGATAAGAGCTCGCAGCGGCTCAATGAGACTCCGCCGACCATCTGAGGAGGCCAACGGGGCTCTATTGATGAGCAAGGCAGGGTTAAATTGAGCGGGAAAGCGTCATAAATGAGTTAAGGGCGCTGTGATTCATTCAATTACCAACCAGCGCCGGGCTCTGCTAAATCTGGCCTATAGCACACATACAGGCTGTTGGAACTCAGGAGGAGCACATTATTCTGCTTGTGTCCTTTCTGCTTATTGGGTCCAAAAAAAGTGAAGTTTAAGGCTTGTTTTTCTTCAGCTGGAACTGAGGTCTTTTAGTCAAGGTGAGGAAGCATTTTCAAATGCCAGTCAACTTCGGTGCAGAACCTGACGCTGACCCTGACTTTCACCTTTCAGCATGACAATGAGCCCCACTGTACATCCAGACATCAGTAAAAGGGAAAAAAAAGGAGTACGAATTTTTGAATGGCCCCAGCGAGAACCCAACTGAGGATGACCATGTATTATGTCAAATTTACATTCCTCATATTCAAAAACACGGAACACTGTTCACCCAAAAGTTGCCAAAGTACAGATTTTAGGGTGTGCACACTTTTGGACTATTTTGGGCAGAAACCTTTTAATTGAGTCGAATTTTGATAAGTAGAAGGACAAGAGGCTTGTGTATGTAAGTAAAATGTTCCCACTTGAATGAAAATGACTCCGCTCTGCAAAGAGTAATTTAGCTAAGTAAGATTTTAATCAAATAAAAGACAAAGGCACGTGACAAAGCCCACCTGGAATGTTTAATCTGATCAAAGCATGGAGGAATAGATCACTTGTCAACAAACTACTATTGTATTGGGACCATCATGGGAGCCAAATATAGAAAGCTTCTGAAAGTGGAAACTTCCTGCAAATGGGACAAAGGAGCTCGCTCGCAGCGGCCCGACACCTCCAACCACCGCACAGCCAGGATGATGGAATGGCTTTGGAACAAATCCCCGACTGTCCTCGAGTGACCCGCAAAAAGCTTGGACTCCCAAACCTTTTGAGAATCGCTGTTGAAAGCTGAAGATCCTGCTTTACCAACGTCGCTGATCCAACGTGATATGTTCTACTCAAGATGTATTGCTCTCCCCTACTTAACGCGGCATGGCACTGTATATAAAAGAAAGCCCACGGCCCCGATGTGGACTCATGCTTTACCGTTTCAAGGTCACCACTGGAGGTAGGTCGTGACAAACCAATCCAACACCAAAACTTATATTGGCTTGCAAAGCAAGCGTGGCGAGAACACAAAGTGGACAAAACACACACTCTGAAATATATTGCAGGAAACACAAAACAGGCATATGCGGACTACGGTCTATGCACGTGCTCGTAAATCCGAATCTTCCGCGGCTCAAAGCTGGTGGCTCACCGCAACAGTTCCCTTCCACAGCTGTCATCTTCCTCTCACTCAGTTCACATTTCAAAAACTACCTGCTGTTTGCGCTGTCTGCTGCGCAGGCTTGTTGAAAGCTGTTACAAACACGAAGCGCCCCAACATCAATACAGCTTTGGTATCACCACCAAGGGGGTTGCTGCATGTTTTCATGGGTTTGTTTGTTGGTTTCGCGCGACCTCCAATGTTCAGTTTTTGAATCTCCTTTGGAACATGTTTGTGTCGGTTTGCATGTTGTCCTGTAGTTTGCGCGAGTTTTCTGTGTGGATGTGGAGCTGATGGCACATCATCTTAGAAAATGACACTGTGAGGAATTATGTGCATTTGTTGCAATCTGATTTGATTGTGCTTTTATCTGGAACAGATTAAATGAATTTACTGCACATTACTTCCTACGGGAAATATTACTTCACTTTTGTAGTAAGACATTTTGGAACAGAGTAAAACCAGGAATGTGGGCTGTAATTGCCCTTTCTTGACTTGTAATTTTGGAATCGCCCAAATGAGTTGCCACTGTAGAAGTGATGTCACGGAGACGTCTTTGAGAAGGTGTGGAAAGAGCACCTCTGCTGGTTGAAGCCAAGTAGTGTCCTCCATTGAGTCAATGAGTATACGCTTCCCTCGAAACTCGTGTATATTCCCTTTACTTTCTTAAGCCCGCAGTACATCACAGCCACTCACAAATTGATTTTAAGGGAACAAATCGGCACTTTAAATCAGTGCTCTTGTTTCCCCCTTTTTCAGTCTCACACCGCTCAAGAGCAGTTTTATGGAGAGAAATTCCATTCAGTTCGGGGAATCAGGGCCTCGTTAAAACACCCTCAGCATCCCGAAGCGCCCACTCGCAAAATGTCCCCGCGACATTTATTTGGGTCCGAATCATATTGCAAAGATGACATCAATTCTGGATAAGTTTGAGGTCGCGCTACATCACTCTTCGCTGTTCACTTTCCTTCTCTGCCTGCAGTAATCTTATTGAGTCCAGTTAGTGTGGCTCTGCCCCTGATATCTCCCGCTCTGCTCTCCATAACCTTATAAGTAAGTCCCTGCACAGTCTCTTTTTTAATCTTGATCACTCACTGCATGCTTGTGTATGTGGTCAGTGCATTAGGTCTCCCCGGATTGACATGAGCCCCCCTCCCATCCCTCTCCCCGACCACGACCCCTCTCGCCTCCTGAAGCTCCCCACCTCCAGCTCCAGCCAGGCTTTAGGTCACCATAGCAACGGCTCCCCTTCCACATGCCACAGAGCGGTAGATCATGCATCAGCGGAGAAAGTGACAGAAGAGAACGAGAACGTGAATGAGAAGGGGGGGAAAAAAAAGGCAACGTCTGGCTCTATTTGACCTGGACTCTCCAAGCTCAGTGACCACCACTGTTTGTCCTTGACACCAACGCACGCACACATCTACATAGCTCAAGTGCAAGGTGTATGGAAAACTGTCTGTGTGTGTGTGAAACGGTATCCGCGGCTCCTTGCTTCGTCTCGTCATTCCTCTTCATCGATCCGTCTTTCTATGTATAGTGATGACTCATATCTCCAACTGAGCATGTATGCAGGCTCTGCAGCAAATACGTATGGGATGAACGCTGAGGAGCCAACTATGCAGTAGGAGAGCAAACGCTCCTTTCCACATCAAAGGACGCCGCAAGAATTCTAACAAGGCATCATGAATATGTTTGTCTGACTCATTTGAGTGACGATACTGGTCCACTCGTGACACGGGAGCCACTAAAGCAAAATCACTTCGGACTTTAGAAAAAAAAGTTGGGCCTGCTTATGTTTATTTGAAGCCACGCAAGAACTAAGAAGTCGATTCATGGCACCCTGGATGATAGCACTCCTTGTAGGTAATATCGAACAATGCACGTCAAGGTTCCCCCACATATTTTGAAGGCTTCTTTCACCTTGTAATGAACTTATTGACTTGTTCCCTGTGACACTTTTCACTTTTGACTCTTAGCTTGAGAATTTTAAGGCAAGTGTTGAAATTATTAAAATGCTCACAAAAACGTCAAGTTCTGAAAATCAACTTCACATCAAAATTTGATGGCTTCTTCCTTGGACAATGTCTGAGCCTCCTTAAAAAAAAAAAAAACTTTCTTGGTGGAGGTAAAAGCATTTTTTTTTTCCTGTTCAGAAAATGGTCGACTGTCTTTTTACATCAGGTCCGCTCCTCTGCCTTCCTGGTGCATCCCTGCCTGTCCCTCGTCTCCCAGTCTGCGTGCCTGTTTTCCAGGGAAAGTGAAGCACTGAAATCCAAGCGCCCCCTCCTTTGCTTTCATGTGCCGTATACACACGCAGACTCCTCCAGCCTCCTGTTAAATGAGTTCCACATGGCCCCGCAGGCAGCCGTCTCCACGCAGCCGGCAGAGGAGCGCGGCAGACGGGCAGAAGTACACACAAACACACGTGCCGCACACGCTGGCTGCGCTCATTCACACAGTCAAGCAGGTTCAAAGGTCACTCCCGGCAGACCTTGACAACACAACTGTTTCAAAGTGGGCCCTCTCCCCCCCGCCCCCCGTCTAGCTGCTAGTTTGACCGGTGTGTCTTTGAGTGTGTGCAGCATGTTCAGGTCTGAGGGCAGAACGCATACTCATGTCGTCTGACTAACTGGCTGTCTAGTTGGTGGGCTCAAAATGCTGGCGGTGAAACTGAACAGCTAACTGGCTCGTCTATTTGACAATCCAGCTGAGTGTCTAAGTGGTTGGCTGACTGACATGTGCTGTTACTTACAGTGGTGGGGGGGGAGACAAAGTAAGGGCAACAACTCAGTCACTGCAACCCAGGATGTCGATTCCACACATCCACATCCACAACTCATATTTAGCGGAACTGCTAATTATCAGAATTGGCGCATGTGGCTGGATAAATCTGCCGACTCGGCATGCCATGTACCTTCGTAATGTGGTTGGACAGGAGTAATTTCATTTGTTTGCACAAAAAGATGTGTGTGTGTGGGGGGGGGGGGTGCAATTAAGGATGGCACACAGGGGCGACACGGTGGCGGAGTGGTACATCCATCTCACCTCTTCTGAGGTTGGAGGTGTAGACTCTGGGGTCAAGCATTTCCTACATAATACAGGTTGCTATCATGCTGCTAATTTGAGACAACCTACATTCCAAAAAGGTTCACACCACTCTTGCTAACCGGGCACTCAAAATAACCTGACAATGTGTCACTCGCGACAAGAATTCTTGACAGCTGAGTTGATACCGTAGAGTGGAAGTGAAAGGGGAATTAGTGGCTTCGGTGTCTTCCTGTTCGCGCTTCAACCTGAAGTTGGTTGCAAGTCTTTTCACATTGAGCAATTGCCACCATTTCAAAGAAATAAAAGTTCTATCGTCTAGATGCGAATAACGGCGGGTATGGGAGACTGACGTCATAAAGAATCACCAGAAAGCTTCTTTCGTTGCAAGGTTAAATGCGTTCTGGACCTCAAGCCTCACAATGTCACACGCGGCCTTCTCAATTGTCATCCCCGCCTGTCCGCAGTCCAGGCTGCTCAGACACATCACTCTCAGAATATGCGTCTAGAGGGAGTCCAGGTTTTCAGACACTCTCCAACCTTGGCTCCTTGACCATTACTACTCCATTATCAGTGGCGATGGAGGGCACGCCGTAGACGCCTAATGTATCCATTTCCCTCTCCATTTAGGACTCGGCGGCCCGGCGAGCTCCTGTAGTGCTCCCTGATTGGGATTGAATGTCCATTTAAACTGCCTAGCAGCCGCCAGGGAAGGGAGGGGATGGGAGGGAAGACGGGAAAAGGGGAATAATGGGAAATACGGCGAAAAGGAAGTGGAAAACAACAAAAGCGAGGGACGGGGAGAATGCATGTTGTGTGTTGAATGGGGAAAAGGAGACAAGGGGATTGCTCCTCAACCTCTGATAAGATTCTCGCTCCATCCCTTCCCTCTCAATTGATGTGTCTCTACTGGTTAGGTTTTCTTCTTTTTTTTTTTAACTTTCAAATAGGCCACTGTAGGAAAGCATTCCTTGGCTGGCATTCAGCCACTTGTCAGAACTCAGCACTTGGTATTCTCAAGGTGCACTTTTAAAAAGACGGCTCTGGAATCGAGATGATTGCACGTTCGGCACCTTCGGGGGGGAAGTCGCTCTGAGAGGGAAGGAAGGCAAGAAAGGACGATCACAAAAAAAAAAGGCAGAGACGTACCTTGGAGGAGGACTCCGCCATTCTTCCTGAAGAGGGGACTCCCCGACCACAATGGAGGACTGTGTTCATCGGGAGGCGGGCGGGGTGGGGGGAGAAAGAAAAGTAGTCAAACCATTTGATCACTTCAACCAGTCTAACGGGCTTCACTGTGTGCAAGATAGCAAGGTAGGAAGTTGAACCCATAAGCCCGCGCTTTTGATAATAGTGATTAGATTCCCGGGTGTCCCACTGTTGCCATTATTCCCTGTGATTACCTCGGAGAATTACAGCCTCGCCTCCATAAGTCCATGGGAGTAATTTCTCATGACAACCCCCCACCGCCTGCCACGGGTCCGCACACATCCAACGAAAAAAAAAAAAAAGTAATCAACATATTCACAGTTAACACATGCTCATGTCACAAAGGCCTGTTTAAGATAAATATGCCTACGGAGTGACACATTTAAACACGTTCTTCTAGCTGGGGGCTTGACACACACACACACGCACACACACACACACAGAAGGGGCACACAAAGCCGGGGACTCACTTTAGGTGATCATTGCACCACTAATGAGGGAGGTAATGACAGCATTTCTCACAAAGCTGGAGACATCTTCCGCAAACACACACACACGTGCAAGAGCACAATATTACTGTCTTGTCGGTGCATTTGAAGTCATTGGAGGAGAAAAAGAGGATGAAGAAGGAGAGGACGAAGGTTGAGCGGTCTTTCAACGATACGTCCGGATGCTCTTCCTTGTCCTCTGCTTTTCCTCCACTTCAACACGCTCCACACATTTCGCACGTGTGACAACATGGACCTTTCTCCACAAACAAATAAACAAACAAACAAACAATCAAACGCAGGCGGGCTGGACAAAGAACACCCGGAGACGCTTGCGAACTCAGACAAAGCAGCCCACTCGTTTGCACTCATCGGGAGAGTCTCCTTTGTAATGCGAGGCCTGTTTTATGTTGCGCTAAGCTGCCGAATGAGAGGATTTGGACGTCTGCACTTGTGATGTGGCTCTCACCTCGCCAGATGCAGGGGGAAAGATGGACCGGAGGCTGGCACGAGCACACACACACACACACACTCGCGCACGCGCACACGCTGCACAAAACGCAAAAGCTGCACATTTCAGCCCTGAGCCACCTGCTGTTGCCATGGAGAGTTGCCACATTGCGTTGCCACGGCGATAACATATTTTTCCTGCGCTAACAGCCTGTCTGTTTTCCCTACCACCTTCCCCCCCCCCCCCCGCCAATCGCACCCCTTCTCCCTCTCTTTTTTTTTGTCGTTCTCCATCCTTTTCTTTTTTTTTCGCTTTCTTTCTTCCCATCCCTCGACTGTCTCTCACTCGCTCAACAAATGGCCTTGCGGTGCGACAGCACCTGCGTTACATGTGTTGCCATGGTGGCGTTCCCGTTTCCAAGGCGATGTGCTGTGCATTTAATATAGTGGGCGAGGGGCTAAACTTGCGGTAGACGCTCATTCCTCAATTACCCCCCCACCCCCCACCCCCGTCCCTATTTGTTTCTTTCATGGGAAGGAAGGAAGGAGGCTGGGAGAAAAAGAAAGGAAGGGAGATGGAAAGAGAGCAAGCTTCTCTACATCCCCCTTGAGACATCCATCCTCCTCTCCTCCTCCTCTTCCTCTCATCCAGATGCTGATGGGGTGTGAAGGAATGCACGGCGGAGCTGACCTCCTCCCCAGCATACTCCTGCTCTCCCTCCCCTTTCGCAGGCACACCAACACACCCATTTTCGTCATGAATACATTCATGCACAAAGAAATCGGTGGACTTGACTGCGAGCGTCCGCGCGCTCGAGCAGGTCGGGAAGAGGCGGCGAGCACGTACAACCAGGAGCAAAATGTCGGCGGCGGTCGCCGGGTGCGGCGTGAATTATTACGGCCCATGAAAAAGAGCGCAGGTGCGAGCGACATTAAGACGAGAGAACAAAGCGCCGTCATCCCCTCATCTCGGCCAAACCTTTTTTTTTCCTTCATCCTTCCCTTTGCCCGTCTCCCGCTTTGAGTTGTGTTGAACTGCTCGAGACAGTCCTTGACCTTAACACAACGGAGCCACTGCGAAACCATTCCCGATCATTACACTTCATAACATAATAGTCTTGAGAAGGAGAGCCCTTGAGAGGGAGATATCGCGCGGTATCGAGCAGACCTGCTGAGCTCCACGTGTATCACGGAAACCTATTCCAAGCCGTTTCATTAGCGGTGAGTTATTATTTTATCCCTTGAACAATATGAGGGAAACAGCGACGGCAGCTCCCGCTCAAATAAGCGCAACAGAGTCTCGAAGTGGCTATTATCTGATGAGAATTACATCAACTGAGAAATCCTGAAAAAAATGGACTGCCGAATTCAACTCCAGGTAGTTTATTGTTCCAGGCCGCAAAATGATATGTTCTGATTGCTATGATTAATATTAATTGCCTTTTCTAGTGAACCCTGTTTTCTCCTTGAATTCACTTGGTGGCTGTAATGTCAAAATGGATGATGCTCCCTTTACGCGACTCATACCGAGTCAAGTGACTCAAGGTATTAAAAGCCCAGGAAGCATGATAAAAAGTATCGTGATGAACTTGTTTTATGGAGACATTTTTTTTTTGTAATCAAATGTGGAACGTGGACTATTTAATGCTCGATGTCTAACGTCTCATGAACTCATTTTTTGCTGTCTTTGGAATCTTTGCCAGAAAAAGGGGCGGAGTCACTGCACCTGAACGTGGTCGAGCAGCACAATTTCAAAATGCTTTGAATTGAGAAGGAAGAATCTTGCTCTGAGTGTTCTCAACTCCTGTTTTCATATCAGTGTCGCGGAATAACATTTCCCAACAGGAATAATCATCAAACAACTCTTTCCAATCAATTAATCCATTTATTATGCCCCCACTTTCGTAATTTATTCAATGTTTTTACAGCTGTGCAGTGCCTACATAATCATCTTGAACAGATTTACGAAAAAATGTTCCCACCCCCCACCCCCGTCCCTATTTGTTTCTTTCATGGGAAGGAAGGAAGGAGGCTGGGAGAAAAAGAAAGGAAGGGAGATGGAAAGAGAGCAAGCTTCTCTACATCCCCCTTGAGACATCCATCCTCCTCTCCTCCTCCTCTTCCTCTCATCCAGATGCTGATGGGGTGTGAAGGAATGCACGGCGGAGCTGACCTCCTCCCCAGCATACTCCTGCTCTCCCTCCCCTTTCGCAGGCACACCAACACACCCATTTTCGTCATGAATACATTCATGCACAAAGAAATCGGTGGACTTGACTGCGAGCGTCCGCGCGCTCGAGCAGGTCGGGAAGAGGCGGCGAGCACGTACAACCAGGAGCAAAATGTCGGCGGCGGTCGCCGGGTGCGGCGTGAATTATTACGGCCCATGAAAAAGAGCGCAGGTGCGAGCGACATTAAGACGAGAGAACAAAGCGCCGTCATCCCCTCATCTCGGCCAAACCTTTTTTTTTCCTTCATCCTTCCCTTTGCCCGTCTCCCGCTTTGAGTTGTGTTGAACTGCTCGAGACAGTCCTTGACCTTAACACAACGGAGCCACTGCGAAACCATTCCCGATCATTACACTTCATAACATAATAGTCTTGAGAAGGAGAGCCCTTGAGAGGGAGATATCGCGCGGTATCGAGCAGACCTGCTGAGCTCCACGTGTATCACGGAAACCTATTCCAAGCCGTTTCATTAGCGGTGAGTTATTATTTTATCCCTTGAACAATATGAGGGAAACAGCGACGGCAGCTCCCGCTCAAATAAGCGCAACAGAGTCTCGAAGTGGCTATTATCTGATGAGAATTACATCAACTGAGAAATCCTGAAAAAAATGGACTGCCGAATTCAACTCCAGGTAGTTTATTGTTCCAGGCCGCAAAATGATATGTTCTGATTGCTATGATTAATATTAATTGCCTTTTCTAGTGAACCCTGTTTTCTCCTTGAATTCACTTGGTGGCTGTAATGCCAAAATGGATGATGCTCCCTTTACGCGACTCATACCGAGTCAAGTGACTCAAGGTATTAAAAGCCCAGGAAGCATGATAAAAAGTATCGTGATGAACTTGTTTTATGGAGACATTTTTTTTTTGTAATCAAATGTGGAACGTGGACTATTTAATGCTCGATGTCTAACGTCTCATGAACTCATTTTTTGCTGTCTTTGGAATCTTTGCCAGAAAAAGGGGCGGAGTCACTGCACCTGAACGTGGTCGAGCAGCACAATTTCAAAATGCTTTGAATTGAGAAGGAAGAATCTTGCTCTGAGTGTTCTCAACTCCTGTTTTCATATCAGTGTCGCGGAATAACATTTCCCAACAGGAATAATCATCAAACAACTCTTTCCAATCAATTAATCCATTTATTATGCCCCCACTTTCGTAATTTATTCAATGTTTTTACAGCTGTGCAGTGCCTACATAATCATCTTGAACAGATTTACGAAAAAATGTTTAATTTATTCAAAGGCATCACCAAAACTATAAGTTTGGGTAACGGGATCTTTTTTTTTTTTTTTTATTTTCTCTCTAATTTTTTTTTTTTTTTTTTTGGTACACTGTTCAAGAAAATTCTGGTAGTGAATCAAAACGTGTTTCTTTTTCCCTAAGCCAGAAAGACATAATGAGCAGCCATGGAAGTTAGCGAAAGGCTAACATAAAGTGGGTCAGCGTTTGCATTAAAAGTTTTGTTTAGCGCTTCAGAGTTTGATGCTGGTCCTTGAAGGCAACTAATCAGTGCTGCACTCCGCCAAAAAACAACAACAACCGCAACTAAATATCAATAGTGACAGATGTCTGGTTCAAAAAGGTCTAATCATCTCTTTCCTCTTTTGGCATGGTTTTGAGAATAAATGAATACAAACAAAGTATGTATCAATTAAGTTAATATCACATCAGTCGCGAAGCTTGACGATTTTGGAGTGATTTGCTAATGAGCAATTATTCATACAACAATTAAGTAAGCAATTTGTGTCACTTAACAGTGTAATGAAAATTCAAAGTCATCTGTAGCAATTTGTTGCAGCTCTAATAATGTAAATTGTAGAAATCCAAACCTCTTAAATTGCTTGCACAGCAATGATTAAATGAGACTTGAACATAATTAAGTGAAACACGGAGCGATGTAACTTAAACCAACACCAGTCCCAAAACTAATAAAGTTGAATGTAATCTAATTTCAGAATCACAATCTGCCGAAATAAGTTCATTGGATGGATGTTGATGTTTGACCTTTCCAACTGAAAGTGAAAAAAAGACGGCCTCTTTTTTTTTGTGGTTTTATAAAGATTGAAAGACTGCAAATAAGAGAAGACTTATATCACATTGAATACATCAGCTGTCGAGCACGGGCCTGCCGTGATGCCTGAGCTTGATTACGCTGTTCCAGCAAAATGTCCATTAGGTTGTTGTCATGGCCTTCATTTGGAGTTTTGCTTCACCACAGGGGACCGGCAGTTTCTCTCTCACCTCAACATGAACTGTCCTCACCTAACGTTTCAATTCCCACCGTGGGTCACCATGCAAATGACTGCGGTCACCATGCAAATGACTGCGGCCCCCAGCACAACCCCCAACATTTCCTGACTGCACCCTCAACTCTTCCCCCATGTTCCTAATCTGGCCTCCAATTTGTTCCACCTCCCCATTCCTCATTGTTCAAAATGATACTTTTACATTTTATGGCCAACCAATTATTCTGTTTTACACAGTCTGCTAGTTCAGCAAGCCCAACCTGCCCATCGACTCAGCAGTGGGATTTTATTCCAACGGGGCAAGAAAGAGAGAAAGTGGACAACGAGGGAAAAAGGCGGCCAATAAGTACCACTCGTTGACATATCCAGAGGGATGCGAATAAGAGCCAGGGACTGAGAAGTTGAAGGCGGCTGGAGGGGGAGTGGACCGAGGAGGGAAAGGACATTAAACAGGTGGATGCCTGTTCTATGAGAGAGCGCGCTCAAGAACATCATGAAACTGAATGAAGACAAAGAGGAAGTTAATTGAATGATCAAGTGGTCGACGGACAGTGGGAGGAACGGAGAGAGAGGGAAAGAATCTAAATAAAAAGACACCCTGTCCGTCTATAATGTATGCCCGAGGATGAGAGGAAGAGTACGTTGGGCATTAAAAGAAGCGGAAAAGGGTTTTACGTGATGTTGAAGAGGCAAAAGAGGAATGGACGGAGCAAGGGGATGAATTAAGAGATCAGGCCAAAAAAAAAAAAAAAATGAGTTCGAAAGCTTGCTGAAAGAAGGGGGAGGGAAACACGATTGAGGCCTAAAGGGAAGGAGATAGTGGGAAGGTGGTACGGGGGTTTGGGGGGTGGGGGGCATCCACGAATGTGGAAAAAAGGCAAGCGCTGCTTTTACCTGTGATGTGCCTCAGGATGTGGGAGATAGGAAGAGGGGCGGGAGTGATGTTGCATGAAAACAGCGTGCAAACAGATTTAAGGAAAGATGGGGCGGGATTGCTATTCAATGCCTGCGGAGGACTGGGGGGTGGTGCAGCAGATGAAGACAGAAAAGGGGGACGCTAATATTCAAGATAAGCAAAGTTGATTGACGACTTCATTCTACCTGTTTCACTTTATAAATTATGTCGGTTAGGTTCGTTAATGGATGAGCTAACTCCCAAGAAGCAACGGTCCCCTCAAAGCTGGGGAACTCTGGCGTAAGCATCATTCTTGAGGATTTCTTTAAAAAAGATTTTAGCAGCTGTCATAAATACAGCTAGCCTTTACAAAACCTCGCATTATGCATGAGGTCATGTCAGGAAAATATATTTGATGGATAAAGGAGAACCGACTCCATCTGCTGTTTGCTCCACCAGAAAGTATGTCAACCACAGTGTACTGTCCATTGTGTTGCCCCACCTCCCCAAACTGAAATACAAGTCAGCATTACACACTGAAACAGGAAAGACAGTGGAAACATTCAACTTTGGCGATGCGTGTTGGAAAACGCTGCTCAAGAGGTTGGTCTTAAAAGATTGAATCGACTGTAATTCTTGACTTCTTTCTATGGTTTCACTGTCATAACGATCCTCCCAGGGAAACGGCAGCTACAATGCGGCGCGCGACAAAAATGAATTGGACACCCCTGTAATGTCGATGCCCACTGAGCTGAAGTTTGGCAAGAAATTAAGTCTTGTTTTATTTAATGAGGTTTATTTGATTTCATGTTATTTTTTTTCCCCATCTAATATCTGCTGGAATTCCAAATCATACTTTGGAGTAGGCCGGGCACTTTCAAGACATCACTTGGTTGGTCGCCTTACCTGTGGTGAAATGTCTGAGACAGGGTGGGCGGGGAAGTGGACGGGGCGGCCAGGCCTGTTGAGTAGGGATGGTACGGTGTTTTCTTCAGTGCTTGGATCAGATTGTGTCTATACTCTGGGTCTATCGACCATAGAGATCCTTTTCCTATGCTCTGAAAGAAAGAAGAGGGAGAGAGAGGTAAGTGCAAGTGATATCCAGGCACAGATCAAACACAGCACAGTGGCCTGAGTCAACATCGCCAAAGCCCCAAAATGAACTCAATCATCATGTTGACCTGACAAACGAGTAGAGCACATTAAAAAAAAAAAAAGACCATATCTATGTCACGACTTCAAGTTGCGCTCCTGCTATTAATGTCAATTATTAAGATCCTTCACCAAAACATGACATTTGTTCATTTTCTGTAACGCATCCTCGCTAAGGTCAAGGGTTAGGGGTACATTCGAGACTGGCCGCCAGCCAGTCGCAGTCCAAAGTCATGCCTGAGGAATCAACAGAAATTCTAATCGACATTGCAGCGGAGTCGAAGGCAATTTTCTAATTGCAAATTCTGCAATTTGAGAGGAAGAAAACAGCTTCATTTCGGTTGGTAGACATTCTTTTTTCCGGGCAGAGGAGGTGTGGTGGGTGTGAATAGGAAGAGAGAGAGAGAGAGAGAGAGAGAGAGAGAGACCAGTGACAGACCACTTTGGGGAAGGCTTGTTCCAGTTCAAGCATCTAAAAACCAAAACCGCTGACCTGATTCAAACTTTTGAGATGTACTATAACAGAGACGGTGGTCCAACAAGCCCTCGCTCAGTCCCCGCACAAATAAATGTTCTTCAGGAACACAAAAAACCGTCCCCACAGGAACACAAAATCTTGCGGCATGTCTTGCCAAAAGAGTCTGTGGCAGCAATTGGGAGCCCCGGCCTTGATTTCCTTTTGCCTTTTACTTTTTGTACTTTTTACAAAATAGCCAAGTTGTCCCATTCAATTAGCCACACGGAGTACATCAAGCACACAAAACTTCCCATTCACTCAAGGGCAAATTTATTTGTCAGTGCCACCCTCGCTCAATATTTTCCCGTCCGCATCTCCTTTTTGAAGTGTTTTCTGATTAAAACATTGGGAAACTCTTGAACTTTTTTTTTTCCCGCTTCAAAGGCCGCAACAGTGTGTATTTTTAGATCAAAAGCACCCCGCCTCTGTCCTAATGAATCTGTCGCTCCCAATCTGAGTGAAAGCAGCCTATAGATTATAGCGAGCGTGGATCTCAAACAGGTCGCCGAGAAAATACTCGGGCTGTCTGGAGCTCTCTCGGCTCCCACCGCACTTTCATCTGCCTTGTCATCCGAATGTGGCAAAATCGCAGGTTTGTATACGACGGAGACCAAGGATGGCGGCAGGGATGCGGGAGAATACGAATACATTTGAAATGAAATGTCCCTTGCCTTATGTTCGGCTCACTTTGGAGTGCTCTGTGATGTGATATAGGGACAGGCTTCCGTTTTTTTTTTTTGTTTTTTTTAAATATGAGGAGGAATGTCAGGCATGTTAAGAGCTGTAAAGTAATTGAAGTTACTTCTTCAACCTCTTTTGATTCCCTTTCTGGGAGAAAGGAAGCATTCACTTGAAGGGAGGAGCTTATTAAGGATGACGTGCATGGAGCACCATGTGATTAATTAAGACACACATCATTTACAGTTGAGGAAATCATGTGCACAAAAGTTTAATCGCAGAACAACATGCAAAAAAAATAAAATAAAATAATGAAGGCCGCTTTGGAAGATGCTCATTTTAAGCTCGTATCAGGCCAAAATGTAGCTGAGAAAAGACCGCATGCTCTCCATGATAAGAATACAAAGAAGAAGAAGATTGCGGTGCCAAGCGAAAGCACTTTCAGATACCTTGAAATGAGGAGCTTATTAAGGATGACGTGCATGGAGCACCATGTGATTAATTAAGACACACATCATTTACAGTTGAGGAAATCATGTGCACAAAAGTTTAATCGCAGAACAACATGCAAAAAAAATAAAATAAAATAATGAAGGCCGCTTTGGAAGATGCTCATTTTAAGCTCGTATCAGGCCAAAATGTAGCTGAGAAAAGACCGCATGCTCTCCATGATAAGAATACAAAGAAGAAGAAGATTGCGGTGCCGAGCGAAAGCACTTTCAGATACCTTGAAATGATCGACTTCAGTCAAAAGTGAAATAAAATGACTTCCATCGACAACCATTGTGAGGAAAAAAACTGCGTTTGGGAAATTATTTTGCAACATGAAGTCTTTCAAGGGTCATTTTAAATGTTTGGAAGATTTTGCGTGTGCTGTCCAGCCATTCGTTTAGCTTGACTTGAACTTTACGAATGCGCAAAGACTGAACATTTGATTCGCCTAGACTGTGAATTTCCGCATAGTTACTCGCGGAATCTCGGCATTATTAGTCCGCCTGTCAGTGTGGTGGTACACGGGCCATATGTGCCATGCGTGTTTGGCCGAGTGTCTGCGAGTGTGTACGGCGAGCTCCCTGGGGAGTGTGATATTACCCAGCATGGTCTGCTCTTGGGAGCGCTTCTATTACTGCCAGCGACACCTCTCCCGGAGAGCATGATATTACACACGCATACGCTCACTCCCACAGAGGTGACCTCCCGCTGGGCCAAAATTTCCCTTTGCACCTCCAGACCGCCAGCCGCTTGTATATATCGAAATACGTGCGCGAGTGCCTACTGTCTGCCCGTCTGGCAGCCCATTAAATCAATATTCACTACGAGAACTGCCGTCTGCCTCTACCAATGAGCCAACCAATCCAAAAGCCCCGATCTCCAGACCCCTCGGTCGGTAGGCCAATCAGAGGGCGCGATTCACAGAAAGGGCGTGACACCGAGGTTATTGTGGTCACCTAGGCAACAGGCATCATCTGGAGGCGAGAGAAGGTGGAATGGAATTTTTGGAAAGCGTATTCATGAAGTTGAGAGAAAGGCATCAAGATTTCACAATCAATAATCCCACGTTCGAGATGAGAGACGATCTTAGAGTTTTCTCTGATGTTCAAGTTGGAGACACAGACAATGGCATGGCGGATTTTAAAAATAGGATCTGAACAAGGGTGACTATCAGAGAACAAGACCTCAGAATTTTTTTTGTTCTTCTTTGCTTCATTTCTTTCATGGCATTTTATTTGGAACATGTTATGCTGTTTGTTTGTGTTTCATCCGTGTCATGGAAAAATCACTTTGCTTTATCGTATTTGCGGCTGAAGAACATGGATTACACAACAAATAATCCAGAACTCAAAATGATAACCCCCCCCACCCCCACTACAACCGCTGAAGAAAAGAAGTGCATTCAACTTATTTTACACTCTGCAGAACAACCTCTCAATTCAATTAAAATAATTTATGTACACACATTTGTGTTCCTAAACAGGTCAGGCAAGCCGAGAGATTTGTAACATTGTCGCCCTTCTAAGGTGACGAAAAAAACAAAGCCAACAGCTGTTGTCCGTGGTCAAGAAAACAAACATACCAAAAGTTCTCTGGATCCCTTGATTGTGTGCAAAAGAAAAATAAAAGAGAAGAAAGTGGATTCAAGGGCGGGTAGAGGGAGAGATGGTTGTATGTTGCCAACATCTGTTTCCTGTGTTATATAAACTCTGGGGGTTGGCCTTCCTTGAAAATGGGAGATATTAAAAAGTCCTGCTGCCACTGACTTGGCCTGTAAGAATTTACTTCTTCAACCGCAATACTTTCGATGTTATTATATTTTCGCATACAATTATAGGAATGGTCGGTGACCAATCGAGCATTAATAACCGTTGACGTAAACATGATTCAAAAGAATTTAGTCAAACTCATTTTTATGCGTACCGGAAATATTACAAAATAAAATGTGACAAAACAAACGGATAGAAACTTGTGGGGCACCGTGGATAAAATGTTTGACATGACAGGCCTGTTGAATCAAACAAAAGATACTTTTAATGCAGTTGTTGGCTTTCCTCAAAATTATTGGAGCGATCTTGAAAAAACATTGAAATCTTAGTTGATCACGCGCACGGTGAACACGCGATTTAGCGTCAGCTCTTCGGGATCCTAGTGAATCAACACCCCTAGGAGTACAATAACAGTCCAAAGAGTGCCAGAACTCAGAAAAAAGGCTTTATAAGCGTTGAAAACAAAAATCCATCGTCGACTAGCCAAAAGGGTGGCATAGCATAGCAAAAAGACGATACCGTAATGAAACAGGTTATCTTTGGCTTTTATATCAAATGTGTGACGATGTGTCGGTATCTTGCTCGACATCTATAAAGAGTCTGGCATCTATAAAATTCCGACATCACCCATTCTTAAAACACCCTGCTGCAACCCATAACATCCTTTTGCTGCTCTCGCTGCTTGCTTGGCAGGCCTTCGTTTAGCTACGTCGTGCAGTACATTTCACGAGCAAAAACACTTATCAATATTAAGTATTATGACTGCCTGTAATTCGTTGAACATCCGCAGTGTAATAGCAAAAAAAAAAAAAAAAAAAAAGGCTGGTTTTAAGCCTGATTAACTCACTGCAATGCGGGGATCTATCCTTACTTACTGTATACATCCTGTACAGATAAACAGCGGATTATCCATATTGCATATTTTTGAACTTTGTGCACTGGATACATGTCGATATATGCATGAACATATTGAGTACATAAAAGGGAGCTTGAAGGAGTGCACACTGTTGAGCAGAATGCGCAGGTGTTCTAAAAGCAAATTTTCAAGCAATTAACATGCAACACAATACAGGTCATAACAGAAGCAAGAAAGTTTAACATCAAATAGACAACATGATCAAGAATTTCTTTTGTGGTCTTTGAGGGTGCACTCATGCGAACACCACTCAGTGTCTCACCGGACTGCTCTGAAATGCGTCGAGTCGAGTTAAGGTAAAGACCGACTTAGATCACAAGAAGGAGTCATGCCAAAGCACTTATGACAAAACTCCTTTCAACTCTTCATGGGACAAATCAGCAATGTGTGCTGGCCTAGACCGGAGCAATTTTTTGGGGTGTCCCATGCAAGGTTTTAAACACAATATTAAGCATGGTGGGCACATGAATCAAATTGCCACGTACAGAGAAAATCAAACAAAACATGCCTTTTTTTTGCAGTTGCACCCAAATACTACACTAGCTTTAAATTCTTTCATAATGAGCGATATGACTCTCTCAGTCAAGCAAGGGTGAACGTTGTTCAAATATATCAATCCCCAAAGCAGGAATATCAAATCAATGAGCCATTCATTTGACTGAGTCACACGAGCTTTAACTTTTCCTTGGTTTGTCTCATTGACATATTTCATACACGTGAATGCCCTTCAGCGTGTTACAACTGTTAAAATGTGCTCCCCCCCCCCCCAGCTATAACGAGTGGGATGTTGACAAGTTCTCACACTCAAGCACACACACGCACACGTTTGAAACTATTTTTTTTAATCTTCTTTTCAGTTCAACAGTTACTTTGTTATTAATTTGATCTACAAATTGCAGCATTTGCACACCACAGACACCCAACATTATCTTTTCTTTTTTAAGGAGTACATAACATTACCAATCGTCATACGTCAGTAAGGCTCCACTGTGTTTATCATCGCACTCTCTTGCAGCTGCTGGCAAGTAGCAAAGCCAGGAAACATTAACATCTACATCAATCACTCCATGCATCCATTATCTTAACCACTTTTTCCTCAATAGGGTCGCGGGCGTGCCGGAGTCTATCCCAGCTGTCTTGGGACAGCAGGTGGGGTAAACCCTGAACTGGTTGCCAGGCAACTGCAGGGTACACATCGACAAACCACCATTGACACTCACAAAAATCAGAATGATCCATTTACCTGCTGCGGTTCTTTTTGAAATGTGGGAGGCAACCTGAGTACCCGGAGAAAACCCACGCAGGCATGAGGAGAACATCCATACTCTGGCCAGCCAAAGGCTGGAGCCGGAATCGAACCCTGCACTTCTGCACTGTGAGGCCGACGTGCTCACCAGTTGTGCCGACCGTGCCCGCCCAACACCTACATCATGCAGACTAAACATGCCAAATGCAATTCATGCTACAATATGGGGGGGGGGAATGGTTCCTGGTACTACTCTGTGCGCCTCTCTCCTATAAAGTTATCTGTTATCGGATCTAAAAACAGTGCGCTCTATTTACCCTAAACCTTAAGGGTTGCCTTGGGGTGACTTCAGATAGAAAACGGTATTTATTTCAGTTAGCACGAGGGCCCAAGGAGAGCATAACATGGATGATTTAGCTCAGCATAACAAGCTAACGCATTTATTACATGCGCAAAGGAGCTTACGTTTTGGAAATTTGGATGTGGTGTACAGCGTATGTGCCAGGGACAATTCCATTTGGGTGAAGGTGCGCTGATGCAGAGATTATTTAGCATTGGCTGGATTTCCCATTTAAATCCAGTTTGGACACGCACCCCTAATGATCTGCACACAAATGATCGTTAATTTCTTAAAAAAAGAAAAAAAAAATGGGGGGGGGGCGTAGGGCCATTCTGGGAAATGCACAAACAGCTCTTTCAGCAATCTATAGTTGACAATGTCACAAATCTTGCTGAAGTCAAACCAACCCTCCCGAGGTCGCACAAGTCACTTGCAACTCGGCAAGGAGAATGTAAACGTGAAGAATTGTGTGGATTGGGTGTCATTGATTTCATCCAAAAATAATATTCAAATAATGACAATTGATCACTTGATCCCTTCGCCAAAGACAAACAAGGACTTGAGCTGCTGTGGATGTCAATGAAACATTCAATGATTTATTTAACATGAGAAAGATTATCACAGAGGGAATTTTCATGAATTCTAAAACAGATTACAAGTGCGGAAAAATAGAACAACTTCAAAATCAGAGAGGGGTTAATGCGGGGCACTGTCCCAGTTGGACGAGGAACTCCAGCATAACGGACCAGAACACCGCCGTTGAAGAGTCGTTGGAACATTGTTTTACTTGACCATTTTGAAATGATAGCAAAGTGTTTCCGAATTATAGTTTGGTGTCTACTTAAACTGTCCACGCTTCCATTCAAGGCCTGCACTACGGATGCACTAATCCAACGCTTGTCATTAGGGCATGTTATTGTGCAAAGTGAGGAATTCTGTTTGTAAACAAAGCCATGGCAACCTTGGGCCTCTCTTTGAGTTCCCACACAAGTTTGCCCTTCCACACGCAATTCCGACACGCGCTCACACGCAGTCGCACGCACGCAAATTTTTTTTTAAAAAAAGGGCACGTGAAGCAGCAGGCTTATGCTAAACGAGTCCCCATCTTGTCATCTGCCTGGATATGACCCAGAAATACAGTCACCGGAACAAATAGGGCACTGTCATATTAATCTCCACCTCTACAAATTGATGGAAATACGATTTGGTGTGTCCACGGGAAAGCCATCTTCCTGCTGCTCTGAAAAACTTTCTGCAAAACCCCAAATGCCATTATTTTCCCCTCCGTAACAAGCCGTAGTCATGACGTAACGCAGCGTGAAGGAAAAGATCTCAACCCCGGCGGTCATATTTTTAAAAAGGCATAAACAGGTAAAGAATACAGCAACAACAACAAAAAAAAAAGTGGTGATATTCTGAGAGAAAAGCTTTGAGTGGCAGAGTCAGACGGAAATTACAGAGATTCTGTAATTGCAGCTTCAAATAAAGCACAGTGCTTGGCAGGTAGAGTAGGAGTCTGCAGAGATGTGCCCTCATTTCTACACAGACACGGCTCTCAAGCACGTGCGGGAGTCCTCTTATGCATGCATGCTTGCTCCTGAGTGTGCATTTTGCCTGCGCGCCTGTTTACTTGTGTGTCTGACAAGCTATGTGTGTGTGTGTGTGTGTGTGTGTGATTCAAAAGTGCGCGCGTGCGTGTGAGAGAAGGGGAATAGGTTTGAAGGGTTAATTAGTGTGCTGTCTTGAACAGTGTGCAGTGACAGGAAGACAAGGCAGGGTGTCCTTGCCAAAATCTCCTCTACACATGGTGCGCCACATGCACACTTTCGAGTACCCGCGCGCACGTGCGGGCCCCAAGAATACATGACGGTGGATGAGGACATCCAACTCAGCACCTCTGGGCCCGACGGTAGCCCACGCGCGCGGCTTTCCCGTTGCTACAGCAAAAGTGTACTTTTATGTCAACTGCAAGCTTGTTACCATGGAGATATGTATACAAGAGAAACTCTGCGCCCTCGTCGTCAAGGGCCAGATGACAGCATAGCGTGAGGGAGTGTGCATGAAGACGCATGTGCGCACCAACGCCATCTTCTTCATCCCTTATTCAATTTGCGCTTTAATATACACACACACGCACGCACGCACGCACGCACACACACGGCTTACTCAAAATAGGACAGCAGGTTCATTGAGTGGTCAAGGAAAGATGCCACCGCATTATCTCAAACAGATAAACATGTAAAACAAGCATTGATCTCGGCTGTTTGTCCGCCACCCTCGACACCCTCGGGCCTGATGAAATCTTAAGACTGTTATTAAATCTTCCAGTATTAATTTCGCACTAATCGAGTTAGGGGATTCATTCCCCCTTTACCCCGAGTCTTTAATGGAGTAAAATGCGGAGGGGAGAACCCGCATAAAAGACTGTATCGAGACTTAAATCAAAAGCGAAACGCTGTTCCCACTGGGGAAACGTTTGAGTGAAAGAGAACTAAGAAAGCGAGATAGAGATCATCAACTATTGATAGGGTCGGATCTGGTACAGCTGTAGACAAAATACGGACTACGTTGAATTTCAAGTCGGATATCCTTGCAAACTTCTGATCAACGGTGTGATCGCTGTGATATAAGTTACGATCGCACGTGACGCGATGGAGTGAAGAATGGGCAAAATTAAACACGCGCATCCCCGAGAATGATTTCAATCCCCAGGATTCTCAATATGGCTGTCGGACTACACCGGACTAGTTTATATACACCTTCACATACGATAAAGACCAGAGAATATTGCATAGCGAGAGAGGAATTTGCAGTCGAGGGATGGGCAATTTAAATGCCGGAGGGAAACACAATATTTCATCAGTGATACTAGGGAGGGGGGGGCCACACACGACCATGCACTTCCTAACCAGATATATGAGAAAAATGCCACTTTAGATGTGGACAAAATATGCGCATATGTGCAAAATATGTGCGGTTAACATATTTCAGAATTCAAAACACATTTCTCAATGCATGTAACCATCCAATATTCGACTCCAACAAAAAAGGGTTTGAGGCAAACAACAACAAAAAGACAAATTGTGATTTTTTTTTTTTTCAGTGTAAGGGCTCTCCTGCATAAAAAAATGCCATTCAAGGAAGGCACAAAACTGCTGAACAAGAACCCAACATGAAGCGCAAGAACTCATTTTATGCATTTTTTTTTCACCAAAACCGAAGCACAACTCAAGCCATACAAACAAAGCGTTCATGGAACTGAATACTTTGAACGTCGGGTGAGCATTTTTTTTTTTTTTTTTGGAAATTGCAAATTGCAAAGATAAAAACAGCTGCTGTCGTTACCTGACTGCGGTCTTTATCCACCTTCTTGAAGCATTTGTTTAGCGACAAATTGTGACGCACCGAGTTCTTCCATCCCGTGGGGGCGCTCGCAAAGTAGGGGAAATGCTCAAGGATCCAGCCGTAGATGTCTTTAACAGGCAGCCGCTTGTTCGGCGCATCCTCGATCGCCATAAAGATCAAGCAGCTGAAGGAGTACGGCGGTTTCCGGTTGGCCCCCGCCGCCAAAGTACGCCGGTTTCCGGTTGGCCCCCGCCGCCAAGTCGTACGCCGAGTGCGCGTCGCCCAGCAGCGGGTCGTCCGGGCACGGCGACGTGGAAGAGGGCGAGCGGGGGTGCTGACCGTCGGGGTCGAGCAATGGGGAAACGCTACGCAAGACCGAGTGGCTGAAGCCGTTGAGCAAGGTGGTGCT